ATTTGAATCAGCAATAATATGATTCAATTCTAGAATTTCAAAGTTTTATAAATAAAATTCAATAACACCACTAAGTCTAAGCATAGTTACATTACTTAATTTAAAAGAATAACCCTAACAATAAAACACTTTCTCATATTAGTTGCTAATCAAATTTTAAGCTAAAATGCCATTAATATCTATATTTGAAACAACATAAATGATGTTATAATCGTTTATTATTTCAATTAAATATGAATTCTCAATTGTTATTGTTGTAAATATCATTTAATTGAAATTTAAGAATATCTAATTAGAACTATAGATATTTGATGATATTAAGGAGGAGTACATAAAATCACAATTTGAAATGATAAATTATTAAAATGTGGAACTAGATCTAATTCTTAAACCTGATGAATTATAAAATTTGCAATTCTTAAAAATAACATCATTAATATAGGCTTAATTTGATTATGGTAATGTTAAAAGAATAGAATTAATGAATTTTGAATTAATGAATGATACATCTGAAATTTTTAAGTTCCCTCTAAAATAATAATCATTAAAGTATAAGATTGATCCATTTTAAAAAGTACAATTCAATATATTCAAATTAAGTATTTCAATATTTTAATATTATATATTTTGTGTAAGTGTAATAAAATTTGTATTAATAATGGAACAATTAAGAAATGTTAAATTTTGAATTACTATCTAATAAAAATTGATATTATTAGAATTAATTAAATTAATAAAGGTTGTATTAAGTAAACTTATATTAGAGATGATTACATTAATTAATGATATTAAATTAGGATTCTATATTTATATTTGATAAGCTCTTCCAAATAGATTGTTACTAGGTGGTATCAAATTTAAATCATAGGCTAATTCTGGTTTAAAATAAGAATCCATAATGGTTACATTAATTAAATATAATTCAAAGGAATCTATATTTACAGTCTATAACTTTGAATTATGATAAATAGAAAAGTTTAATTATATATTTTGAATGATCAACTTCTACAAACTATGAAATTAGACTAAACCAAAGGTAATAGTTTAATAATCATTAAATTTTAATCCATTAAATATAATTTCTGCTCTTTATAATGTAAGTATTTGATATACATACTAATTAATAAGGATATCTATTGAATGGAAGGATGTACTAAAGATAATGTGTTGTGAAACATTTAATTGAAATGTTAAAATGCTTACTCCTTTTAAAATCATATATTCATATTAAGTATCTTCAATACCGGATAGATAATCTTTTAGATTTGCTAAGGTGGTTGTAATCTAAACGTTATGGAATATATTATACAAAAGATAACTAAATTTAACATTTAGGAATTGTTGAATTACATTATATAACATGACCATAATAATTATCAATAAATAGAGATGCTCTATTTACTTTTTGAAGACATTAAAATCCATAGTATTTAATAGTTGAATTATAATATGGATTTAATTGATTTATTGGTTATTTTCTAATTGAACAATATTCACAATAAAAAGGACATTCTTAACATTCCATATTCATAACAGTTAATCTTTTTGTACCATACTAATTAGATTCACATGATACACATTACTAATCAAATTAATAACAAAATGATGAATTAACTTTCATACATTCATTAGCAATTAATGAATAACCATCAATACAAGATATTGGTTCTAATATCTCTCTTGCATCATCCTATAATAAATTGATTGGATATATTCCTGAAAATTAGAATGTGAATCCTAATATTTAATTTAATATTTCATCATTTCGAGAACTATATGAATTTTTACATTCAACATAAATTGTATTATATTATGAACATTTTAAACAAATACCTTATTATCTATTAAGATAATATCCTTTTTAACATTCTCCACAATAATATTAATTTTAAACAGGTTGAATGCATTTATTACAATTGTACAAATAACGTTAACAATTATGGATCATAGTTCCTTTAGAGAAATCATCTGTGTTAGTCTCATAACATACAACATTCTTGTCAAAATTAATATACTATTATAAACAATTTGTATCTTATTATTCAAGAATTTCACATATTCCAGTTATAAAATTAAATTAATAACCTTAATAACATTAAGCACAACCAATGACTAATGTTTCTTTGTTAATTGATTTATTCATACGAAGTATAGAAATATAACTAACATCTTCTTGATAATATTCAAAACACACTTTACATTTATTTATTGAACAATGTAAACATTACTATTAATCATAAGATTGAAAGTAATTATCTGCACATTTTTAACATTTATCTTACTAATATTATAAACAATTTGATAATTTAGTTGATTCACTTGAAAAAAGGTTACATATATATTCTCCAAAATAAAGGTAACTACTTGAACATAAAAGGAACTTACTTTTACATATACCATCAATAAATTTACTTTTGAGTTGACAAATAATATATGTCTATTTATATAAATGTACATATTATGATAACTTACATTCTATATTATACGGTAAAGTCAAACATAATTATCTACAATATTCACATAAAATCAATTCTAAATCTTAAAAAACATAAACATCATATTAATCATCCTAATAAAAAAATAATTACACATAGTTATCATTAGGTACAAATGGAGAATTATCATCACTCATATTAGCTTAAACTTAAGTTTTTAAACATTTTGGTTCATATATCCAAGTATTTGGATTTGCTAAACAAAGAAAACAAGAATATTTTTTATTTACTTTTGGACTAATATGATATAATAAATCAAATAAATTACCATTAATAACAAACATTCTCATATTTAAAGTATCCAAATGAACAAACTACATTAGGATATTCACTATCATATCCTTAATTAATTGATAAAGGTAATATTTTCTCTTATTTTTCAGGATATAAATCTTTACAAGAACTAATACCCATTTCTACAAATCCAATCATACATAAACATTAATGAGTTTCCATAAAATATTATCTATTTCTAGATTTCTAACAACTTAAACATTAATTTGAATATGGACCAAAACAAGTTAAACAATTAATATGGCATGATATTGTCAAAGGAAATACATTACCTAATCTTGAATAATATCTTAATTAATTAAATTATCCTTAAGTATTACTATAATAGTATTTTTAATCTTTAATATATCCTCCAAAAAAGATTGTTTGATTTGTATCTGAGAACAAATAAACTTACTTAACAATTTATACAATATTTTCATAAGGTTTTTATGGAAATGACAATGATAAAGAAATTTAATTTGATTTATAAATAATTGACATATAATGCCATTCATTTAATGATTTGTCTAATGAAAATTCAAGGTTTTTTTTTATTGAATTTATAGAATTACTTTTAAATTAAGGAATAGGAAATATATAAGATTGATAATCTAATTGAATTTAAGTTAAATCTCCTTTTATCAAGTATTATAAATTAATCAATTCATTTTAATCATTTGGACTTGCTAATATTTTTATTACATTAACTACATCATGTTCATTAGTCTTATTCACTTTAATCCATCCTGATATTCCAAAACATTTATTAATATTGTAAATAATTTAATGAATTTCAAAATTTGTATTATTAAATATCTTTTAAGTAGCGATTTCATAATATGAATTAGAAGTACAAGATATACTTAAAGGATAAAACCTACTACTCTTATCCAAAATTTACAATCGAATTGGTCCCTCAAATAATAAATTATAATATTATTTAATCTATTAATTAATTACACATTAATACATCTTAAGTATTTCCAGCTTATAATTCAAAGTATTCTTATACATATATGTTAAAACCTGTATATATTTTGTTAAATAAATTCGTCATATTCTAATTTTAATAACATGTGACATTCACTTAATTAAGTATCAAATTGTTTCTTATTTCTAATGTAAACCAATTTCCTTCTATCAATAATGGATCTTGTAGCATTTAAAATTAATATAAAGTTTTTGTTTAACTTAGACTCTCTATTAATTGTAATTCCACACAAATTGTAAAAGTCTAATCTTATGTTAAGTATTTTAAGTAAGCTAAAACTGCTATAGATTTATCTGAAAACAAAGAGAAAATGATATATTGATTTATGTCATGTTCTGAATTCTAGTAATATAAGTATGACAACGGAACGTATTTAAATTCAGCAGTAATATAAATGTACTATTGTAGGTAAGTCAAATTTAATTATTAAGTGTATTATTATTGAATTGGATTAAGTGTTTGACTTATTGTAGTTATGGCTGATCTAACTTCCTAAATACAACAAAATACACTAATAAATAGTAACATAAATTGAAATTATTTTATTAATTAGAGGTATATTTAACATCATGTACCAATAAATTTGTTGTTAAAATACAAATATTAAATTTTAGATTATCAATAAATCTCTAAGTAGCTAAATATTAATATAAATATAATTTTAAAGAAAAGTATAAAGTAATTAAATGAATACATATTATGGTGTTGATGCGACTAAAATAATACAGATTACAACTTATTTAATACAAACATCTTTTTTAATAAATAATTTAAATGAATATGATTATCATTTTATATTACTAAATTAATTAACAAAATTTGGTTTATTTGGATATTTATATTAATATAAATAAAAATTATGAAAAATTTCTAATTCTTTTTTTAGATTAAGTAAAGTATATTAGAGATTTAGCGGTTGTGATAATTGTCATTGTTGCTAGAATAAGAATTGTAAAAATAATAAAAACACTTAATAGATTCCAATCACTAATAAATATTCTCATTTAATCAATTACAAGATTAAATAACAGAAATCTTAATAGAAGTCATTTAAAATATTGAAAATAAAGAATTTGAAAAAGTCAATCAACCTTTTTTAGTATTTAATAAGAAAAATATTAATAAAAGAGTATGAAATTTATTAAATTTATCAAATGATTATACAAAAATCATTGATTGAATTCTAGAAAATATTATTATATATGTATATTAAAAGTAAAATTAATTATAAATAAAATTCATATTGATTAACATAGAGATTCTAAGAACTCCTGTTAAGCTGAGCTCAGATTTGCTTTGCAATTAATCATTTCCTAATATTGATTTGGAGCAATTAAACAAAATGAAACTGATTTACGAATTTTTTAGGTTTTTACAAGTTGAGAATTATTCATTGTTTTCAGAATGCTTTTAATTTTAACACTTTAATCCACTTTTTTTATCATAGAGTTATTAGATTCTCTAAAATTCTCTTAAATCTCTTCAAATGAATGACTTGTAACTTAAATTTCATCATCTGAATATACTGATTCAACTTCCATTTTTATTGTTTCTTTTATTGGATACTTACTTTAGTTGAATTCTTGAATGATTTCTTCATTTAAGTTTATGTCATTAGTATTAATAGGGATTTTAATGCAAGTTGATCCCATTTTTGTATTTTAATTACAATGTTGAAACATAACTTTAAATGCTATTAATTCTAAAACGCCTAATAAATTCCGATGTCTATTTGAGACTATATAAAAATATTGAAAATTCCATAAATTATATAATAACTCATTTATTAATGCATCTGAATATAACCATGTCTGAATGACTCATCATAACTGTAATGCTTATATCCTTACACTCCAAGATACTTTTAGACAACTTATATAGAAGTATAGATATAAATCAAATTGAGATCATGTATTAAATAAATTAACACTTCTAAGAAGTATAATGATTGCTGATAGTTTCTTACTTATTACTGTATAATGTGAATTCTACTTTATTCAATTTCAGTTTTGAAGTTTCTTAAGATATCAACAATTTTTAATTTATAAACTACCATCAAATAATATTCATTATTTAATGTCAATATATTCTCTTCTTCTTTCTTCTTTCGAATCTTTATAACCTTAGATATTAATGCTATCGTCATTCATTATAAAGTCTAAATTTTATATAGAAATAAGAAGATTCTCATCATTCTGTATCAATTCAGATACAAATTTTGATGAAAAACAAGATTAATGTGATCTAAAAAGTTTGAAAATTTATTTAATATATTAATTAAATAGAATAAATGATATAATTGGATAAGTTTCATTGCTTCCATGAAAAAAGATGGATCCATCTAATTACCTGATCCTTAACTATTTGTAAATATTATTTATAATAAACTCAAGTAGTAAGTAGTCTTTAATATTGTTGATATATTTAAGAACACTAACTATATTATTGAACTCAAGAGAAATATAATGAGGCAATATCAAAAAAAATTATGTATCGATTAATTTTGTATGAAAAATAATGATAATTGAAATAAATGATAAATTTAGTTATCAGTATTATATACATCCCTTTATAATATTCTGGAGTGGACTTGCTAAATCTAAATAGGTTAGACAGACTGCAAAGGCTACATCCTATTGTTAGAGAGTCTAAAAATAATTATGTATATAAAATACTCTTGAAGCTACTTATGTGTTGAGCAGAGCACTTAAAAATGATACTGAAATGACAATTATAAAAACAATAAATAATGCATTTCCGGTTTTGATACTAAGAATAAAAATGACAATATATGTCAAAACACTAGAAATTACTTTTATTAATTATTTATTGACTACACAATGAGTATCTTTGATTTATTCAATTACTTAATTTTATTAGTCTTCCTAAAAGAAAAGATCGTAGATTTTATTAATTATTTCAATTCTTTATAAAATTGATACATCTTCTGGTAATTCATTAGGATTTTTAAGTAGATTCTAATTCAATTGATTAAAATAATAGATTGAATAAATGATAATAGCTTCAGCAATAGGAAATGAACTATTTAAAGATGATGAACATAATCCAACTATAAAATTTAGAATAATTGAACCAATAATGGCAAATTTCATAAAAATAGTATAATAATGGGTAACATTATGTTTAACAAGTCCAAATTAGGTAATACTATGTACAATCATGATTAGTAATGTAATAATAATCCACCAAACTGGAGCTGATGAATGTCTATCACTGCATTTATTTCCTATTCCAATAAGTGATAATCCTATCAATATTGTATAACCATAGTATATAGTATTCTAGTTTTTTACCTAAAGATATTGTTATTATATACTATCGGTCTTATTGATCTAATTATTGGTAATCCCAAAGCAATGATGATTAAAGATGTTGCAATTACATAGAATGTCCATCTAAAACTATTTCTATAATATCCAAACTCAACTATAATATTCGCAAACCATTCCATCAAACCAAATAATTGCATTCCCAAAATAATCAAGTGTTATCTTAAGATTTTCTTGTAGTACTCCTTCAGAAATATTTCTCTAGAGGATTCAGTATCATCTCTGGATACAGTAATAGCTTCTTTGTCATCATTCATTTGAGTGTATTAAATTGGAGGAGCCGCACTGTTCAAAATTGGGTATTTTGCTAATTCTACTGTACTTGTTGATCCATCATATGTGATTCCAATCATATCCTATTGTAAAAACATTAATTATTTATTTATATTATAACTAAATTCCATATTGATAGATATATATTAATTTCAAATTTATAGTATTAATCAGAATAAAATACTTTTAAATATAATTTATAAAAACTGAATTATTGGGATATTTATATAAAGAAGATTAGGAATATTATTGTTCAAGATTATAATTCTTATTTGAGATATTATTTTAGAATGTATTAGCATTAATTGTAATAATTTTTTTAATATATATTTGATTCTAGATATTGAAGGAGAATATGATATATACCAAATTTATAAAGATTTCAAAATAATTTAAAAATTATTAAGAATGATTGGATTAAGTATGCAAACTCTATTAATATGATTAGAAATTATAGAAAAATACATTGAAATTCGTTAATATTCTTTCATTGTAATTTTAAAATCATAAAACTCTAATTTTCTTCATCCTAATTAACAACTAAGAGTCTTAATCCTTCCTTATCTTATATTAACTATAATAGAGGTCCACAAGTAGCACCAAATTCATTCACTATCTTTTCATTTAAATACACACCACTATTAAGTGGACTTATGGATGTTGATATACGTAAAACATCTTCACTTGTTGCAACTGATACAATAGCAAACATCTTCTCTTTATCAACATCTAAAGGATTTTCCAACATAACAAAATCACCTACTGGTTATTTGTGTCCCATGATCTCTTTCTCAATCTTCTATGATTTTAAATTCCATATCTTAATTTTACAATCACTACCTCCAGTCACAAATAGATTTTCATCAATCATAGATGCTTACATACAATATATTTGACATTCATCTCTAAGTACTTATTATTTTAAAGCATCACCAAATACTTATCTTGTATATATCTATGATCTCACATAATGTATTTAATATATAATGATATTTTTATCACTACCTCCTGTAATCACTCTTCCATCTTTCGTTAATATAATTCCATTTACAGAATCACTATGATCTTAAAGTTTCTTCATTACCATTCCAGAATATGCATTCCAAAATGATACCTTACCATCTTCATGTCCACTAATTAAAGTATGATTATCTAATAAACATAACATCGATGTGATTACATTTCCTTATCCTTTCAATTATTTAATCATACCTCCAGTCTTAATATCCCATATTTTTATGTCTTGATTACCAGTTATAAGATATTATTATTCTTTTAAATCTACTCCTAATGCATTTGCTCTAGAAGTTACATTAAAATCTCCTTGAAATCCTTTGAAAACTCTCATACAAGTGACAGATTATTTTGTTTGAATTGTGAAACATTATTCTTTATTTTTCAAATCCCATACTTAAACTAATCCATTTCTACTTCCAACTGCAATAATATTATCTGTAATTGCTTAAATACTTAATAAAGGATTATTTGATTAGTATTTATACTCTAACTTTAATCCAAAGTTTTTCATACTCTATCCTAATCCTAAACTAATATTCATATTGAATTTTTAAGATTTCAATTTATTCTATATAAGTGTCTTTAAATTTTCCAATTCTTATAAATCTCTATCTCCTCCAATAGCATTTTAACGATTATTGGCAATTACAGTTTCTACCTTAGGTAATAATAATATATGTTCATAATTGTATTATGGTGTAAGTTCCATAACAAGATTCATTTCATTCAATTAAGTTGTAATTGAATTGATAAGTTATTTTTAAAATTCATCATATTTTAATTACAGAGTTTCTGTATGTCTATAACCTGGTTTATGTGTAATTTGATTATCCATGTCTTCAGCCATAAAGATAAGTGTTCGTTTCATTAATTCAGAATCTATATTAGACAATCTTTATTTGATGAGACATTTCTCTTCTTTAATCTTTTTATAATTTTCATCTTGATCATAATGAAAAATAGTAATAGATGAAATATTGACAGGGATTGATCTATTTAATGCAGATGGAACTTATAAAAATGATTATTTGAATTGATTGACCATATCTTGTAATGTTTGATAATTGGATTCATAATTTATTAGAATTTAATCTAAAGTATTTAGCAATTCATTTTGTTTTTTATCTATTTCTTCTGATATAAGATCTTTGAGTCTATTGCAATCTACACAAATTTTTCTCTTTTAATTTTAGATGTCATCAGATAAGATCTTCAAATATTCAGGGTAATGTCCTATTAATTCGGTAACTTTGTTTGGTATGGAAAACAATTGACTGGATGTAAGAGAAGATTTCAATGAGCTTAACAAATATATATAGAATGTACCAATTTGATTAGAAACGATCATAAGATCTATCTCTATTGTCAATACTTCCAAAAGTGATTCTATCTGCGGGAGTAAAATAATTAGATTATGCTAATGGATGATCATTCATAAACCAATCATTTTAATGAACTGAGCTTTATCTTCTACGTTCAGATAAATGTTCTTGTAATTTAGATTCATGTAAAAAAGGATTTGGAGTTGGTTCAAGTTTTTGAGATTCTCTAGCTACACTTTCAGCAAGATGTTGCATAATTAGTTAAGAGTCTTTCATTCCAGCTTTCTTTTGAAATTTGATCTTAAGTTTTTTACTAGTTCTCATTTCTTCATTATAAATTTAGTTAATCATTATTATATTAATATTAATGATTAGAAATATCTTAATAAGAGGACAAAATGTTCAATTTATTAAAGGAGAGAATGTTTTGATGGATCATTTCAATAAAGTAGAGTAGGCTAAGAAATTTTAAAATTATATAAACTCTTGGGAATAATCTAATGTGGAAGTTAAATCAATAGAGGTATCTTATGTATACATGTTTGGATAAAATATTGGTTTTGTCAATTTAGTAATTGATGCTTATCTTAATGGTATTAAATTACCTGGCTTCGTATTTTTGAGAGGAGATGCTGTGGCAATTCTTTTGTTGGTTAATAATAAGATGGTGCTTACATAACAGTTTAGAGTCCCAGTTGGTAAATTTACTATAGAGGCACCTGCTGGTATGATGGATGAATAGGGTGATTTTGGAGGAGTAGCTGCAAAAGAGATCAAGGAAGAAACAGGAATATGCATTTAACATAATGAAATGCGTTATTTATAAGATATGTTAGTATCTCCAGGTGGAAGTGATGAAGTGATTCATTTATTTGTTGTTGAGAAGAATATGGAATAAGCATAATTAGATGAATTATGTAAGAAAACACATGGAGCAGAAGGAGAAGGAGAATAAATAAAGTTAGTGATCTAAGATTTTACATGGTAAAATATATTAAAGACATAAGATTCAAAATTGATAGCAGCAGCAGCAGCTTATTATAATCAAAAATTATGAAGCATATAACATATTAATAATATAGAACAATTTTCATTCTAATATAATTTATCAATACTAAATCAGATTGAATATTTATATTCTAGATCATCTGTTAAATTCTGATAGGATTTGAGTATATTATAATACAATTATACTATAATTGTTAATCCAAGTTTTAGTTACTATTAATCTTGAGATTAAATTACGAATTTATCGTTTTTTAAAATCTCTTTTATAGATTATTAATATACTATTACAAATATATTTTCTCTTTTAATAAGGATCATACTCCATATTCTTGATTTATTCAATCAATTATTTGTTTTTTCTTGAAATAGCATATTCATTTTCAAAAGTAAATCTCTATACTTAAATTTATATATAACAATTTAAAGATTTCTAAATTTCAAATACAGTTATTTTAATTGTTCTTTTACTTAAATAATTCAAATTATTAACTGGATGAAATTTAGGAATCTTATATATTAAGTAAAGTATTCATATTTTAAACAAAAGAGACCATATAGATATACTTAGAACTTTATCATATAGTTACTACTGTATAATTCATCATCAATTATCATAAAGTTAAAGATAATGGAGTTAAGTATTATTCAAAATTAAGTTTACTTTAAATTTATCAAAGGAAATTGTTAATTGATGATAAGAAATATTCTAAAGAAAACAAAACTTTATATTTAAAAATTAAAATTTAACAAAACTTATCATTACTTTTGTATATTATATTTTCATTATGTATAAACTTATTTTAAATACATGAAATCACTTAGGAACTAAATTTGTCTCTATTTGAGCATTAATATTTTAATAAAATACTACATATTATTATTCTTTTATTCTTAAAAGATAAATAATGAATTCATGGAACACAACTTCAAAACTGACTATTAAATTATTAAGGAATATTAAATCATAAATTGAAGATATTATTAATATTGGTAATAATCTAATTAGATAACAATATTAATGTTAACCTTTAGTCTTTGAGAAATTTAAGTTCAGTAATTAAAAGCTTATTGATGTATCAATAATTGAAATAACTTAGTAGATTGAGTCATATAAAATGAATATGAATTTCAATAGATAATCACTGTTCTTCTAATGTTATTTAAACTTAAATAATGATGGTTGATTATCAAGTTAAATTTATAAGAATTAATAACAACAATTGATCTCCAAAAAATAGTATAGAAATAGAGGTTGATATTAAAAATACTTCAACTTTCCTTACTGAATGTTAGAATTTGAGATATTGTGCATAATAATAATTTAATTTTTAATGGCAACACACAAGAAACAAGTAAACTCTCTTAATAACGTTCGCTTTTTTCCTGATAAATCTAATTCGAATAATGTAGTCAAGGCACGAAGCCCAGTAATTTAACCAACTCATAGATTATAATAATAACGAATGGCGACAATGAATGTGAATTAATAGAATTAAGAAGCACCCCTTAAAAAACCTTAATTGTCTCGTTGTGGAAGTATGGGAATGCAAACTTAATTGCCATGCTCAGATAGTTTAACAAAACTGTAGGAAATAGAAAAAGATATTCAAACTACTGAAGTGGAAACTATTAGCATAGATAAATTGTAGAAGTGGAGAATAGCTTTGATTGAGTAATGTGAATCTATGGAGGATTAATTGGGGAAGAAGGAAGTGAATGTTCATCAATATGCTTTTAAAGTTGTACCTCATACTCAGATGATAGAAAAAAGAATAATTGAGGAAATTCAAAATAGAGAAAAATTAGAGGCTTAGACTTCTTAGATGATTAAATATTAAGACTAAGAAATTAATTAATTACTTTAAAAGATATAAGCGTTGCAAGAATCCTTGAAGAAATGATCATCATATACTTATTTTTATGTAATTTATATATTCCCATGAATTATCATAAAAATAATTTTTAAATTTATGTAAGCTTTATCTCTTTAGAAGCTTGTGTTATCAGCACAATAAATGGCTTAGAAAGAACATTTTGCTGGTAGTTGGGAATCACTAGTAGATATGTTTGATAAACGTTTACAACTATACAAATATAACAGAGTTTCTTTAATAACTGAATGCAAACCAACAATTGGTATAGAGTTTTATCCTGCCATTAAAAATGAAAAAGATCTTTTGAATCACATCATGCGACTTCACCTCTACTTACCATAAGTTTTTTTTAATTAGGCACAATTTTATGAGTTTAGTACAGCTCTTGATGACAGGAACATATTCGATAGAAGGAATGTAGGGTATTTTTGTTTTTCTCATTGAAGTTCTCTCTTGGGCATGGCCTTTATGGGAATCGTTGGCTTCTTAGCCTTAGGTTTTACTATCATGGGTATGATAGCTGGAGGAGTTCTAGGAGTTATGCTTGGTAGATACGCAGGTCGTCGTATGAAGAAAACATTTACATCTTAAAAGGTATTATTGGAATTTGATATCTATTCAATCAGATTACGTTGTTATATTAAATGGGCAGAAGAGAGAGGTAAAACTTATAGATATAATGTTAATTTTGTAAGATTTATAGCAGAGAAATTGTTATTGGAAACAAAGACTGCTTTGCATTACAAATAATTCAATGCTGATTAACAAAAATAAGCTAAAAAGATTATACTTAAAGTTGCTGAAATCTTCAAAGAGAAATATTTCATTCATGCTCTCATTCTATCTCTAAAAATGTCACATGAATACTTAAGAATTTTGAGATTATTAAGTGAAAATAGTGAATTGAATCGTGGAGACATTGAAGAATTTCAGCATTTCAAAAATTTTAGAGCTGAACTTGAAGTTTGTTTAATGAAGGCTATAGACAATGTCTTAAGACCCTTAGTTCGATTATTAGAGGATTCTAATCCAAAATCAAAAGTACTGAAAAAAATTAGAGATTAAGCAAAATGTTTCTTAATTTAAAAGGATGTCATACAATTAACCAAATAATATCCAGATCCACAAATGAGAATTACCTATATTAAGATGTTAGCTGAAAAGATGAAACAATCCATCAAAAATGACAGTATAATTTCTTATTTGAAAAAATAACATTTTAGAGATATTGAACAAATTGGTATTGTTATAGATCAATAGATTGATTAATAATAAATTGAATAAAAATAAATAGGAGATATTAAGTAAATTGAATTAGAAATTATTTAAGAAGAAAATGAATAAAATCTTACTCCTAAATAATAATTAAAATCTCAATATTCTGCTGGTAGTGAATCAGAATTTTAACCTTTACAAGAAGATTGTCTAAAATCATCCCAAAAACTATAAGAATTATAATTAAAAATAACTCAACATCCAAATTTAGTTTTTATTGATTCTAATTAAGGAGATTAAATTATTTAAAATTCTCTGGCCTAATCTTTGAGTTAAGCTGATATTAAACAAATCCTTGAACCTGAGTAATAAGTCTCTTTATAACATCGTTAATCTGTTGATATCAATTAATAAATTGTATAATATTCTGAGGAGACAACAAAAAAATTTGAACTCTTTCTCCAATTTTATGAGGAATCAACTGATTCTTGGGAATGTGTTACTACTAAAGATGATATCTATATATACAAATCAATGAAACCAGGTTGTGGTAGTGTATTTTTGAAAGGACATTCATTCATTTACAGCCATGATAAATAAGTTGTCTTTAATGCAGTGTATTAGAAGGAATTTAGAACTAAATGGGACAAAATTATGCAGAAATTTAATATAGTGAGACATGAACGAGAAGATATTGATATTATGTATTATGTTGTTGTTCCTCCAATTCCAATTGTAAGTACTAGAGAATGGTTATAAAGGAGAGTATTAAGATATGATTTTCCTTATAAGGGATAAATATGTCTGTTGTTTTATTCAGTTGATCTACCAGAATTTCCAATTACTAAGAATCCAGTACGAGCCCATACTGAAATTGCTGGTATTTACAATATACTTTAATTAAAGGTTATGTTTTTGAGAATACCTCTTCTGGTACTAAAATTACATTTGTCTCTAATAATGATATTAAAGGCTCAATTCCTAAATTGTTGGTTAATCATGCTAGCGCAAAGGGTCCATTTGGATGGTTTGGTAATTTGCGTAAAGCTTGTGATTTATATCGAAAACACAATGGCGATCTCAGTAGAATAGTTATATCATGAATAAATATATAATCAGTTATTATTTGTTTTTTATTCCCTCATTAATTATAATATAAATTTGCTGTTAAATTTTTATGTGGTAAACTGCAAACTCAGTTCTATCAATTATTACAAATACTTACGAAAACACACGAGGAGTGGAATGTTTGGACAAGAAACCTCAAATATAAGATTCAATTGAAGAAGAAACTCGAAATAATTATAGTGATAATGAAGATTTTAATCAGTAAGATAAAGGTATAAAATTATATATAAAGTAGAATTTGATCCTAATTAATGGAGTTTAAGAAATTTTGAAATGGGTAGGTATTTAGGAAATGGTAAATTTGGTCATGTTTATTTAGCGAGGTATTAATTATTTTATATCCAATTAGGGAGCGTGAAAGTAAATTCATCCTCGCTTTAAAAGTAATAAGTAAAAGACAACTCAATCTATGTTAATTGACTGGATCTTTAACCAGAGAAGTGGAAATACTTACACATCTCAAACATCCTAATATTATTAGTTTTTATGGTTTTTTTTAAACAGAAAAACGTGTTTACTTAATGCTTGAATGGGCTCCATTGGGAGACTTATATGGTTTAATGAAAAAGTAATAGAATAAAAGATTCAATGAAAAAATGGCATCAAATATTATCAAGCAAATAACAATGGCTATTGGATATATGCATTCAATGAATGTCATACATAGAGATTTGAAACCTGAAAACATATTGTGTTTCAATGATGATGTGTTCAAGATTTCAGATTTTGGTTGGAGTGTTCATACTCCATCAAATAGAAGAAAAACTTTATGTGGTACTTTAGATTACTTATGTCCAGAGATGATTAATTATCAACCTCATGATAATAGAGTAGATGTTTGGACAATAGGAGTATTGGCATATGAATTAGTAGTTGGTAATTTTTAAGATTATGAATAGGGAGACCACCTTTTGAATCACATAATGAGAATGATACAAAAAGAAAGATATAACATTTGCAATATTAGTTTCCATAGTGGAGTAGCTCAGATTTTCAGAATTTTGTAAAAGGAATCCTTTAACATGATTGCAATAAAAGACCTACAATCGAATAGATTTTAAATCATCCATGGATTGCTTAATGAATTACTAATATATATTATTATAATTAAATAAATAAATTTGAAAAATCATGGTACTAATATATATAGTTATTCATTTCAGATTAGATTTATTTTGTTGTAGAATAGATAGGGGAAGACAAGACTTTCAAAATGGTATGTCTATTATGATGATGCTGAGAAAGTAAAATTGCAGAATGAAGTTCATCGATTAATAGTATGTCGAGACACTAAGCACACTAACTTTTTGGAAGTACTTAGAGTTTCATTATAATTAGTTCAGGAATTATAAAATCATCTACAAAAGATACGCAGGATTATTCTTTGCTTTGTGTGTTGATGTGAGTGATAATGAATTAACAATGCTAGAATTGATACATTTGTATGTTGAAGTATTAGACAAATACTTTGGAAATGTTTGTGAATTAGACATAGTATTCAACTTCAATAAAGTATATTAATGAAGCTACTATTGTAAGGCATATTCTATTTTGGATGAAATGATTGTCGGCGGTGAAATTGTTGAAACTTCAAAATAAGTCATAATTAATGCAGTCAAGAATATTGAATTATTAGATTGATACATTATATATATCATTTATTTTTCTTTTTTTCAGCAGCTTTAGCATCAGCAATCCACTTCAATTATTCATCAACTTCTTTTCTATATCTCATTTCATTTTTCATTCTCTTTATTTATTAAACACTCTCCTCTACAAATTCATGATTCAAATTAAGTACTTCTGCCTCCTTTAATAATCCTTCCAATCCTACAATCATAATATAAAATAAATAATACCCTTAATATTCTCATCCAAAGATTTTACATCATTAGCCCATTCTGGAATTACAAACTTAGGTTCCTTCTTCTTTTTTTTCTTTTGATTCTGTAATGCCAATTTTAAAGGATCAATTGGTTTACCTGTTATTGGATCAATAGGTTTCTTGGTTTTTGGATCCCATTTAATAGGATCTGGAATCTCTCTTGCAGGATATTCATTAAACATCTTCAATATTTTCTTAGCTTGAATAGCTTTAGCCATCTTATCTCTTAATTCTGAAGCTTGATCTATATATTATTTATCAACTCCTTTTTCTGTTGCTATAACTACTTTATCATTCAACACAACCACTTATTCAGGTGTTGACAATCCAATATCCAAATTATCTAATTCGAATTATAAATTTCTCTATCAAAATAATTTAAATATACCTCTGCCTTTAATCTGTCCATCTCTTTTTCAGCTTCCTCCTTAACATGAGCATCAATCTTAACACCTCTATTTACAGCATCATCCAACATAGCTTAAATCTAATTGACAGATTTCAAGATTGTTTTATAATTAGAAACATGTTTCAAAGTACTCAAATAATCCAATATCACATTCTAAGTTCTCAATTTTTCCTATTCAATTAAAGCAAATTTATAATTCTTTGGATCTATCTCTATTCTTTAGAATTCTTCCTTCCCATTCTCATTCTTAATTACTATTCCCTTCTCAATCTCATTCAATTTCTCTGTCAATATTTTATGATCTTATTTATCAATTATGCTTAATAATTCTTCAGTGTGTTTCTTTATTGTGTTCCAACAATTCAAACATCTCCCTTCAGGTTTTTCCATGTCTGTTGATTCAGCATTCTCAAATACCCAATCCATCTTATATTCCTCCTACTTCCAAAACCTCCTACATGTCATACAAAAATAATTGGCTTATTAACCACTTGCCTCTAATAACTTAATCAACTATAATATATAGGCATTAGTTGCCAAATCTTTTGCAGTGTGTCCCCTTGTATTTGGTCTGTCTACTGCTATTCCATAAAATAGTAATGTCTAAAATACTACTTAGTTCCCTCCTGATGCTGCCAAATGAACACTGTTATTCCCAAATTGATCTACATCCTATATTAAAATCTCTAATTTTTTTATACCTCCCAACTCAATCCTGCCTTTAATAATAACCATACAACTTGTACATGTCCTTTAAAACATGCCCACATTAATGGTGTCGAACGAACTTATTAATTAATAATTCCTTAGACAACTTTCTTAGTTAATTATTAAGGGAAATTAAACACTGCTGATTAAGCAACACCTCCAGGACTTCCTCCAAAATAAGTAGACTTGCTAGGAGATGATTGATTCAATGGACTTGAATAAACAGGCATTGTCTATGCAAAGTTCTACAATATCAATGCCATTTCGGGAACATATGGTGCTGCTGCTTAACGAGACAATAAAACACGCACTATTTCTGTGTACCCTCTACATGATGCCCACATTAATGGATTCCATTTTTTCTTATCCTCATATAAAACATTTGCTCTTTTATCTAAACATCTTTAGACCGCTGTTATATCTCCTTTCTAACATGCACTCAATCTAATTAGCTAAATATATATTCATACAATTATTAATGCCAATCTCCCTTCTCTCTCTTCTCATCTTCATCCATATCAGACTCCTCTTCTATTGGTTAATCCATCAGTTATTTTTCTGGGTCCATTGTTTGTTATTAAAATTATTATATATTATAAAATAATATTTGTAAATATATTATACTTTAATCATTTATAACACAACCAGAATAACAACAGATTATTTTAAATCAATTATTAATCTAACCATTTTATTTTCCTCTAATGCCATCAAAATTCATCTTGCTCTAATTACTCTAAGTTGTCTATCTTCAACTTCTTGAAAATACTTAATTCATCCTTGAAAATGAATACATCCAAACAAATTTAGCCATCATTGTCATTCCCTACGATATTGACATATCCAAGCAATATCAAACATTATCATTAGTCCAAGAATACAACCTTACTGAAGAATATAAGTAGCCTCTGATCTCACCCTAGACAAAATTATATTCATTAATAAAATCTAATAATCAAGATATTGATATTGTTTAATTGGAAGATCAGAAACTTTCATTTTTGTATACAATTAAGAACTACCTCTCAAATAATTAATTAGTTATTCAACCTAAAAAATACTCAATTTAATTAAATTAACAAAATTGTTTCTCATTGCATTATCTAAATCAGGAATTCTACATGTTAATTTGCAAAATGCAAGAAACTAAGATCATAATATAAATACTTAATTTGAATCAATAATCTATGGAATAAAACTTTACTATAAAAAACTTAACTGTTTTAGACTACAATCCTATTTGTCAAATAGATTCTAAATTTATGTTTTCATTGCTTGTAATATTTGAGAAAAATTGTTCAAATTCATCATTTACAAATTATTTTATTGATATAAATCATTAAAAAATTATCAATTAAACTAATTTAAACATGAATAATTACAATAAATCTAATGAATTCATTATTAACATTGAAATATGCTCCTCAAATATTTTAAGGATATTGACTCAAAATCAAATACTAATATTAAATCTTTAAACTCCTGAATTTTCTCTCTATCAAGTTGCATTAGTAACAAATTTTTCTAATACTTTTATTAATAAATGTACATTATAATAATTGTCATTTCAATTAGAAATCAAAAATAATTAATTAATATTGGATTAAAATAAAATAAACATAAGTAGTGAAGGTTTCATTTAAGCAATTCTTGCAAATAAAATATTAATTTTACATAAAAAGGATTAAGTAATAGTATATTTCGATTAAGATATATAGATTATAATAAAATAATCATTTTAATAGTTTTTTAGTTTATCAAACTTACCATTTGTTTTAGGGGTTAAAGAAAATGGGGAACTATTAGCATATAAAATTAGGATTCCTAAATAAAGTTATACACATTTAAATTCAAGCAAAATTCAAATTTTATAGTTTTCAAGAAACACTAGATTGTTAAATTAAATAATTTCTTCAAAGATTTTAGATATTCAAGTAATATCTGAAAGATCACCAAAATTATTCATTTCTGAATAAAAAGAGTTCTTTTAAGTATTCAAAGGTTCTAGAATTTTATTTTTCTAATCTAAATTACAAATTTCTCTTCCTTTACAAGTAAAATCAATATAAGTAAATGGAAAATCAATCAATTTTAAGATAGAAACATAATAATTAAATTGCCATATAGATATTAGAGATCTAGAATAATTATTTATCATGAATTTAAAGGATGATTCACATCTTATTTTGTTTATTAAAAATAATACGACTCAATTAATTGTAGCTTTATGCTTTTAAGAAAGATTGTCAATAATTAAGAAAATTAGAATCAAACATGGATTTATAAAAATATTCATTTTTAATACTTAATGCTTCTTTCTTGTTCAACAAAATTCATTTAAAATATATTATTACGAAAATATGTAATTGAATGAAAGATCTTATCTCTTTTATCTTCAAATAATTGATGCAAATATGGTAGATTAAATAAAGTTAATTTGTCTTGTATTCAAAGATTGTACTTAATAATGTTATTATACTGATATCAATGAAGATTCACCTTTCTTTTAGATCTAGTCCTCAAAATTAGAATGTAATGGCAACAAGTAATTAATTACTGAATTTTTGTTTATTGGTGAACATGAGTTATTCTTTTATAACAAATTATCATATTAAGAATAATTAATACTTCAAGAAACAATTATTAAAGCTGAAGTTATATTACATCATTTTTTGATTCTGTTATTTACCACACATGAAAGTAAGTTAAAAATAAAGAAATATAGTTTTAACAATAATGAATTATAATTTTTATATGATATTCCTTTGTATACATTCAGTTTAAGGAATCCATTAACTTATAAAGTATAAGGCAAATTTCTAATGATATTAGCAGAAACCTCTTCCTTATCCCCTGTTTTATTAATTTATAATTTTTAAAATACTGGAGTTAATTCCCTTATTAAAGTTATTGAATTAGATAAAGACCAAATACATTTTGATTTCATATATGGAGATGGGATGGCTTTTTATTATTTTTATTAAAATGCCATTTAAATAAGAGAATTAGATATTATTTCAGTTATCTTTGAGAATGAATTTGTATCTACAAATGTATTCAATAAATTTGATTTTTTATTCACTTTTGAAACTCCTATTTCAAATGAAATTGTTAATACAAATCATTCATATACATGTTTCAATGATGATTACTAGATTAGATTAATTTAGAATGATACTCGAAGTTTAAACTCAAAAAATGTTTTGGATATGTCAAATATAATTAGTAATATTAATTCAATTGAAGTTGTTCAACATAATTATTATTTACTAATTCCACCTTTAGTATTTACTTCTGACAAAATGATTTGCAAATTTTATTAAAATAAATGTTGTATTAATGAATCTGAAATAATATGCTGGTTAAAGAATGAAAGGTTCATTTAAGAAAAAGATGTCTTAATCTAAAATTATCTCATGATTGATTGTAATGAAAATCAATATGAATGCACTATTATGTATAACTTCAACTATTTCATTTATCTTATGATTATTATATTTCAAAAAGATCAATAGTCCAATAAAATTTTAATAATTTAATAAAATAATAATTCAAAGGCTCCTTTTCATGAAGCAAATGATATTGATATTAGATTTTATAATAGAGATCTAATAATGTTTGGATCAGAAGGACAAAAAAAGATTTTTGTTTATTCAAGACTTAACATAAAATAATATATTAGTTTTAATTATTCTAAACTATAAAATGAGTTTCTTTAGATAAAGAGAATTAAAGATAATAATTATATCTGTTTATACTAATATGAGAATTAAATACTTTATACCATCATTACAATTAATGATAATAATCAAAATTAAAAACAATAAGATTTATATTATAAGGAATTAATTGTTGATTAGACATGCTTTTCTTTTGAAGATTTAGCAAATATCTTGAATGTACCCTTAAAGAAATTTTAGATTAAAAGTAAGATAATCCAAATTAGTGAATTCAATTTTGTCAACGATATTATAATGATTGAATTACTAATATTGTTTGAATAATAACTTGGTTTCATTCTTCAATTAAAAATTGATATCAATAAATAAGAGAAATGTTATTTCGATATTCTATAAATTATAAGGTATCCAATTAACTCTTATTTAAATCTACTATTATATATTAATAATGATTTTATAATAATGTCAATTACTTAATTTGAAAATAAAAATATAATTCTATATGATAGGTTTTAAGGTCAAACAGTATCATTGATCCATTCAATCTACATGTTACCTGATAATAATTATTCAAAAATAGGTATTATTTTTATTTATATTATAGAAAATTTCAACAATACTCATTTTTCTCTAATTCAACAAGGTAATTAAATTTAAGAAGTCTAAATTATATCTATTTCAAAATATAAATTAGAATTTCTTAATGAATCCAATTCAATAGCCACTTTAATATTAAAGAATGAGGTATCAAATTTTACTATTACTGTTCAAAATATTAACATTAAAATTCCTCTCAATTATAATATAAGATTAATCATAACAATAATTAATGTTTTATTAATTTAATTTTTTCTATTATTAAGAAAGAAATAAAAGAATAATGCTCCAAAAAAATGAGAAATATATTTTTTACATATATATATAATAATGTAAATTTATTCTTTAGAAAACTATTAATGAAAATTAATTCTTTTTATTATTAATTTCACTTAAAGAAGTCGAATATAAGGTTATATTTCATTTTAATTAAAGTAAAACTTAATTTAAGAAATAAATAAAACATTGTTGTATTAATAAAATAATATCAAATTATTATTATCATTATTGGTTGATAATATAAATATAATTATAGCATTACTAATCAATATTTATGTAATTCTAATACAGTAGAATTACAATCATTAGAATAATTAGATATAAATCTATTTATAAAAGGAAAATGTAATAATAATCAAATTATTAAATAATGAATAAGGTTGAAAAATTGATTTCTAAGAAAATCACATTTGTAAAATAAGTACAAGAAGATTAGGTTGATAATTATTATTACAATATGATATATTCAATAATATTAATAAAAAATTGAGTAATATTTTATACATTAAAACAGTAATATGAAAATTGAAATTAAAGTTTATTCTGTGATTAGTGATATTTAATTAATGATTTTATTCTTTGATTTATGATGTGAATAACAAAATTAGATATATCAAAAAAAGTGAAACTTATTCTTATTTAAAATTGATTATTATCTGATAAAACCTGTCGAGTCACAGCAATTATCAAAAATATTTTGCTTAAATATTGAAATTTAGTATTAATATCTTAAAAGTTTATAACATAATCAGTAAATTTCAACATAAACCTCTTGCGATCATTTCAATACAAAAAGTTGCTAGACAATCTCCAATGCATTAAAATATGCATACTCCCCAAAAGCCTTGTAGATTTTTTGGGTTTCCTTCATTTATTTAAACTTAATCAAGAATTTACTCTTGTTATTGTTCTTAAATCTAGGTTTCAACTTCAGTTTAAGGTTTTAATTCCCAAAATTTATCATCATTTATGTTATTTTGCATTAATTACTATGAGATATCTTAATTTTATTCAGTCATTAAATTAATATATATACATTATCTTGATTTGTTTGATTTATATTATGAAAATGTAGAAATTTATGTGTTGTACAAATAAATTTAATTAATATTTGAATTAAATGTATATATATATATTATAATAATATTCATAAACTTCTATTTTTGTTACTAATAAACAAAATTAGTAGGAAATTCAACATCAATAAATATAAAGTAATTTTAGATTTATTTTAAATTGAATTCTCTAGTATTACAGGAGATCTTAAACTAGATACATAATTATGTAAAACTAATTCACAATTATTTTGTAAATGTACTTTATAATTATGTATTTCAATAAGTTAGACATTATTAATTTTCCCATCATTTTTAATTTATACAAAATGTGTTTAATTATAATATTAGATATCTGAAAATTCATCATCTTTATAATAATAATCAAAAATTTCAACAGAAGAACTTAAATTAATCTAATAGAAATAAGATGATGAAATGGAATTTTCATTTTTTCCTTTCAAAATATAATTAGTATCATTAATTTACTTGAAATCTTCATAATTAATATTTATATATCTGATTATTTATGACTTTATCAATAATTCAGTAATTATTTATTACTTTAAATCAAAAAATAATTCATAAATGTATGCAATGTCTGTAGGGGAAAAGAGAATAAGAATCAAATGAATCTCTTAATTTTCCTATTTGAAGTTCAATATATAAAAAGCCACAATTTGGTAATCTGAAATGATTTTCTTGTGTTCTTTAACTTCATTCTCAAACTTTGAGCAAATTTCAAAATAAAGCTCAAATTTATTATTTAAAATTAAAAGTATAAATGAATATTCATAATAGAATAAATATTCAATTTATGTTGCTGAAAGATAATTAATTTAACATTGTACTTGGTATTTCATTTTATTTTATTATCTTATTATTGAGTAAATATCAAAAAATTGTGCTGTTTCAATCATGAGAAAATCGTTGATAAATCTTATAGATTTATATTAATTATTAAATTCAATATAGTCTAATTTTATATAGTTAGAGTGATTATATATATTTTATTAAATTGATTGATTACCTGAAAAATTAAAAAAACCAATTTATTATAGAAATTAATCATAAAGTATGATTAAATTATAATTTGATTTTAAGATTGTATTGAGTAATATTGTATTTTTTGGTAATATGATGGTTATATTAGAGTTAAAGTAATCAATAATCAATTTAGAGTTAGAAAAAAAACAAAATTATTCATAAATACTCGAGCAATTATTCAATTATATGATTTGTTTCAATTAGATTGGTCCATTTAAAAATCCTTCACAATTATTACTCAAATGCAAATTGTTTATACTACCATAAATAGAATCGAGATTGATTATTTCATTTTAATTATTAATCATCAAGATCTATTATTTAACATTAAGCTTATATCTTAGTTTAGTATCAAAATTTAATAGATTTAAGTTGATATAAAAATAAGATGGAATAGAATATATTAAAGATTTAGCTTGAAATTTAATTAGATGATCTATTATAGAATAATCAGTTATTTTTATTTATTTGATACCAAAGTTTAAATATGGATAATTGATAACAATTTTATCAAATAATACTTAACTGAAAATTCCTGTTTCATCAATTAAATTAAAACTTTAATAATCTAATTACATTTTAGTAATTTATCTTAAGCATGACTTTCCTTATTAAGTTACATCATATGTTAATAGATATTCTAACTCATTCTTTATTGTTATTATGCTAAATAATTTGTCATAAAATTTTATTTTAATAGGTTATATTATGAGAAATTCATATGTTGGTATTTAATATAGAAGAAGGATTTCATTTAAACTAAAAAAATATAGTTTTAATTCTAATATATTGTTGTTATTTACAATTAGTAATATTCTGGAATAAGGTACAAATATATGTGAAATTAGTATTTCACCATTTATTGTTACTAGAATGTTATACTTATTAGGTATTAATGATTTGATTTCAATAGTATATTTTTAATTATTAATGTATAAATATGGAACTCTGAAATCATTATATTTATTCTCTCTTTTCATCCAAAATTCTTATAAATATTAATCTTTTGATGAAAAATATTCATACCAATTTTTAAATTAATATGTAAGGACTGTATTATCAATAAGGAGACATATTATTTTGTATAAATCCATTTTATATTCCTATATATAATCTTTAGGTTTTATAGAATCTTAATATTCTATGTCGGTTTTATTAATAATTAAAAAATTCAGAATTTTATTTTTAGTAATAAAGAATAATGTAATTTAATTAATATGTTCTTTTACAAATTCAACTGATACTTCAAATATTGAACTCATTATATAAACATTTTTTTAAATATCATTATTTTTTAGATTAACATATATTTTATGATATTAATCTTCATAAATTATAATAATAAAGTTGATCTCAAATGAAATAATTTTCAATGTTTTATTAATTGGTAAATTTCTATGATAAATTATTATTGTCTAATTTGTATATTATTATAACACATTATCCTAATCATATTCTAAATCTAAATACAGAGGTATTGCTTTAGTTATTTAATTAGTATCAATTATCAAATTAGTCATATCTCTTTAATTATTTTTAATGGTTATACTTTCTGTTAATTCAATTTGCAAAGGATATTTAATAGAATATTAGAACATTTTGTGGTAAAATAGGATTTAATTTATGGAGTATCTTAATTAACTTTTCGAATATATTCCAATAAATGGTAAATTTTAATATTTAATAAATTTATTAAGGCAAATAATGTTATAAAATGAAATTTAATTGTTATAGTCTAGAGTTAAAAGGAGAGGTAATGTATTTAATTTATAAATTTGTTTTATATTTAAAATTCTTTCTTAATTAAAACTTTCATGAGTTATTACAGCATAATCATCGTATAAAAAAAGAAAGATTTTTTCAGAATATTAAATGCTTTTAATTTATGATTCTGTATTTATCATTTAATTAAATGTATGATAATAAAACCCTATTCTGTTAAATCTTTAAAATTATTAATTCACTACATATGGAAAACAAGAATCTTTAATGTAAAGAAACCATGGTTGATATTATATCATTTCAATTTTAAATATCTAATTCTCTAAATTATATGTGCACATGAATTATGCAAAAATCAATAAAACTATATTTTAGTCACAAATTTTTAAATCAATTAAATTGCTCTGATTTGGATAAGTGTCTAATTCATGTAATTTTATGAAATTCTTATTGAATTACAATCTCCCATCTTATAGATTTATTTCAATAATCAAAATAATAGATATTTAACAATTCAAAGAATTTATGAGTAGTTTATTAGATTGTAATTTAGAGTCTAATCTACAATTATGAGTTTCATTAATTGTGATTTCATCTAATATTTAACTTTTGTCATTTAAAAGGAAATATTAGATTTATTAATTAGAATTAAGACAATGAATAAGAAATGAATCTTCCTCTATATAAAAAGCATTATAACATGAATTAGAAGGTAAAGATATAGAGTTTGATCTAATTTCTTCTGCAATTATACCTTCATTGTATAATGTATTATTTATTCTAATTTTACAATCTATTGATTAAAGTTATAAGACACAAATATTAATATATTTTCCTTGGTGACTTAGAAATTTAAATAATTTTGCATCGCCATCTAAACCTAGATCAATCTACTTTTATTTTTCTATTAACTATTAAGAAGAAGTATTTAGAAGGTTTATTTATAAATCTTCATCATTCTTGAAAGGGATAGCCAAATCATTATCTTCAATAATGTATTTTTCATTTTCCAAAAAATATAGTTATTGCAATTCTGAATATTGTGTTATAATTATGGCATTCTGGCAGATTATGTAGATGAAACTAAACAAAGAGTGTATAAGCAAAGAAATGAAATTCATTTTCATTTGGATTGTTTGTTATTTAAATATTGTTATTATATTTAGAGAATCTTAATTCTGGTTGATTACCTATCAAATATATTAATAATATATAATAATCTATTAATAGAACTAAATTATTAAATTGAATATTCTAAATCCATCAATATAATTAAATAATAAAAAAGGATTAAGAAGTAATTATATATATTTAAAGTGAAGAAATTAATGAATAATAAAAGATTTATATAAAGTATACATAATATACAATTATATGTAAATGATATACTAATAATAATTAATTAATGTATTATTATTAGGTTATAAATGTGATTCATTAAAAAAAAAGAATTCAATTTAATAATTATTAAACTATATCTATGTCCAATTAATTGGTATTTAGTAATTATAATTTAGAAATTACAACTTCTTATCCTATTGATTGTAAATAAAAGTTATGAAAGTGAATGCAATTGTGATCAATTAGAAGAAAATGATTGTAAAATAGCAAAACAATGTAAATTCGATTAAAATTAATGTTAATTAAAAAGTTGTTAGGATTATTCTATATATGAATGCAATTATGTTGATAATTGTAATTTAGAGAACAATATATGTATAAATCATGATTGGTCTACATGTGCAGATATACCATTAGAAGTTTGTGAATTACGTGATAATTGTGCAATAAATAATGAAAATTAATGTAGAGAATTTACAAAATGTGAAGATTACTAATTTAATAAGAATTAGAATTGTAATTCAAAAAATGAAAATTGTTATAATGGAATAGATGGATATTGTAAAAGTAAAATAGTCATTGGGAATTGTTAAGATATTCAATAAGAATGTGAAAAATATAAAATGTTAGATAAAACATATTGTGTAATATCAACAGATAATAAATGTGTTAGTATTGAAATTACTTAATGTTCAAATATGAATGGAACACCTGCTTGTTCTTTATATGAAGAATGCAATTGGGATATAAGTACTAGTATTTGTAGTGAAAAAAGATGTAATGATTTGAATTAATAAAATTGTAATGGTTCAATAAAGAATTTGAATGGAGATAAGACGATTTGCTATTGGGATAATGGAGTATGTTAAAAAATGAGTTCAATTGATGATTTATCTGAAACAAATTGTTACTAATCAACAAATGGTTAGAATACTTGGAAAGATGGATAGTGTCAAGAATGTACTTAATTGAGTGGAATAATAATACTGATAAATTATTTAATATATTTATTTTGAACAGCTAATATTAGATCATGAATTATTTATATCAGATCATAATAATGACTAATGTGGTGATAAAAGCTAATGCAATTTTAGCATAACAAGATAGACATTCTCCTCCAGTAGATGTAGAAACCCATCTAGAAGTACCCAAGGTCATTGTATAACAGTTTCCTTATCCTAATCCTCCATAATTTTAAGCAGCTTAACATTTTCCAGCAGTAGAATCCCAACTACATAATTAATAATCTCCTTTATAGATAGCACTCATGACAAAGGTACAACTTTGTTAGGTTGTGTAATCACTACATAATAATTGGGAACAAGTATTGCTAGTATATTTACATCCATAATTGGCTAAATTGCATTCTGATTAATTTAATGATGTGCAATTTTATGCTGCAGTACAACCTCCTCCATCTCTCCACATACATATTCCATCTTATGAAATATATCCTTCACAATATTAACTGGCAGTGAAATGTGAACAAGAATGAAGTTGATTTGAAGAACCACACTTTGTACCATTAGTAAATGGACAATTATTGGAACTTAATAAACATTACATTTAAGTGGCTCCTGATATTTGACTACAGAAGGTAAAAGGCTTACAGGAAGTTCCACTGGATGTTGTTGTCCACATACATTTTAAGTTTGCAGCACATGCAATAGAATCAGTTATCTTATCACAGTCTAGAGTAGAACATGAAGTTCCATCCCATGTACATTAAGGTCCCATTGTTGTACAATCACTCTAAAAAGACAATTATTCACAAGTGCATTAATTTGATGTATAGAATTATCCACTACTTTATCCACTACTTCCCAAACATCCAACAAAGAATAGAGCTAAGACGATTTTGATCATTCAATTTAAATAAAATAATTTATGTTCTGCATTTAATTATTATTTCCATTTAAACCCATAAAATTAAATTAAGATACTTTAATTTAGACATATTAGAATTATGTCTTCTCAATTATACTAATTTATCAATAATATTATTAGATATTTATCTATAATAATATTTATATATATCAATCGATTGAATATATTTTAATTAAACTTGAATCTGTACTTAATTCTTATAATGCTTCTAATGCAGAAAAACTAATTAATTTGTCAGAAGGAGATTCATCTATTACATTATACAAAGTAGTTGCAATAAATGACATTTATTAAAAGAATTTTTAAAATTCTTCTTCTTTTGGAACACTCAAATATTAATTAATTATATAAGAATGTTCTTATTATTATTTGAATGTCTTTTCATCATCTTTAAAATTTTATTATAATTATAACACTTCCTACTTACTTAAATCACTATTAGCTATTATTATTTATGAATCCTTAGGTTTCCTATCTAAAACAGCTGCATATATTTCTGTTGCTACTCTCTCTAATGCATTCTCTTCATGTAAAGTATCATCTAATGAATTTATTAATTCATCCAAACTCAATCTCTTAAAAAATACCTCTAATACAAATAATACACTCTCTCTCATTCTTGTCTAATATTTCTTCTCTATAAAATTGTCATGATTCTTAAACTTTACTAATATCTATATTAAAGATCTCAAATAATCTTTGGCATATTCATTTCTTAAATATCTCACTAACTCTACACAATGCATTTAAGCTTTTAAATTATCTAACGATTATTCTATTCAATAATACCTCCTTTTGTCAATACATCAAGAATACTCTATCTAATCTTAGCATTCTCTAATAACTCTTTACAATTTCCTTAAACTGCATTATGTAAACTTGTAGAAGCATTCCAACTTATTTTTGGATTCTTAGATGCCAAAGCATTTGCATAACAATTTATTAAATCTTAATTTATTATTGCCTATTAACATTTCATCAAATAATATCCTAATCCACGTAAACCATTTGTTGAAATCTTTTCTTTATTATTCATTGCAAAATTTACAAATAACTAATAAAACTCTTAATTTAAATTCACTAAACTACTTAAATTAGCTGCTGCCCAACTACTTTTCTCCAATACATGTACATTATTCCCTTATAATTTATTAAACATCTAAGATAACTCTTATACAGCCATTGGATTCTATAGAATACTATTTGAACTACATAATGTTCCTATTGCCTTATAAAAAGTTATTTTTAAACTAGACATATTAAATGGAGTATCACTAAATAGTTGTACATAAATATAACTTATTTATTTTATCATCTTCTCAATAACTTCTTTATTCTATTTCTACCAAAAAAATTCCTAAAGATTACCAATTATATTAAATCCTGCAGGAACCAATTCAACTGCATTTGATTATAAACATTCCAAAGCTACATCAATTAAAATATCTTGAAATCCTTATTCAGCAACACAACTAATTTCTTCAAAAATCCTATAATATTAAATATTTGGTTGCTTAATTCTTTATAATTCTTAACAATTTACTAATTCACAGAATTCCTTATGAAAATGTGATTAACATTTTTGTAATAATTAATAACATTCTTAAATGAATAAATCATTATTATTATTATTATTTTCATTTCTATCTTTTATTCCTTATAAACATTACTTAATCAAATATTTTACATCTATTGTTTTAATACCCTCATATACTAAAAAATTCAAAATCTACATTGCAGATGTTTTCACTGTTACATCATTCATCAATTATAATGATATTTAATATAAGGGAATTGCACCCTCTGAATCTTATAATTTAGTAAGAATCCTACATTCCTGCATCAAATACACTTCTAATTTACATAATTGTATATTGAATTGACTATCATTCTATTTCCATCCAGACAGTAAAGCAAGTGCTGTTTCATGAATTTATTTTACACCCTAAAATAATACATATGCTTTAGGTTAAAATCCATGTTGATGTTTAACAATCTCTATTCCTTGAATCCACTTTGAGACATTCAATGTATCCAACAGTATTATTATTAATTGAATCAAATTTATCTTGGTATTCTTTCTTGGTTCATGTTACAAAAGTTGAAGTAGCTTCTACAAGAATAATTGCCAATTGCTTTAAAAATACAATGGGAATTCCTTAATTAAAGTCTTTAACACAAGTATACTAGTTGATCTTATTTTTGAATTAGCCTTTTGAGCTGCATCACTTTAACCTTCTGAATCACTAGATAGATCAGTTACTACATGTTCTGGTTAAAGATTGCCAAATTATGGAATACCCGTAAAACAACATCTAAAAACTTATCTTATGAATTGATCTGGAGTATCAATTTTGAATTCCTAAAGCAATGCTCCGATGGCTTTTAACAAAGTAATATTGATTGGAGAGCCTAAACACCTTTGAATGGCCACTTGTAATGTTTATGAATTGAATTCCTTAGGCTAGAGTTGAATTAGTTTAGCCACCAATCTTATAGCTTAGTCAACAGTTTTTAGAATCTCAATTAAAACTGGTACGATATCATGAGTAACCCTATTCTCTAAATGTTTGAGTGTATGCATCAATTATTCTTTATTTTCTAGTTACTTTCTTAGCGATTATGCTGTAATATGTTAATGCATTTGATTATTTCTTTTATAATGTAATAAATTTAATTGAAGAAGAAATGAAATTAGAACTTAATTTTAGTTCGCTTTTTATGAAGTATTCAAGATTGATCCAATACATAAGCTAGATCTAATTGAACATTGAATTCATTATTTAAAATGGTACTCTCAAATGATGGGACATTTGAACTAACTTTTGTTGATCCTTTTCGGTAATGTAAAGGAAAACCTTTGGAATACAAACACATAATGACACCTGAAGGGATCTGTGTCATAGGTGAAGTGGATTAACACTTCATTCTAAATGTAGAATGCAAAGACAAAGGAGTCTATGGTATAAGAGTAATAGTGGATGGATATACATTACCAGGAAAAAAGACTTTCAAGAGTAAGTGTAAAATACAAGGCTTTACTAATTCTGAAGGCAATATTAATTGCTTCAAATTCTAAAGGCCAAAGTCAGACCCAGAATCTACTAATGTTTTCAAGAGGAATGTATATAGACCACCATGGGATTTGAATTAGAATGACTATCGTGACTATCCAGGTGGTGCTGGTGAAATAATAGTCAAGATCTATGAAACAAAATAGGAAGAGAATACATAAAGTGGTGGTGGTGGTGGAGGAGGACCAAGAGGAGGAGGTGCAAGAAAATCTCAGGATCCTATGTTTATAGAAGTGACTAAGAATGAAAACAAATAAGCTCAAGATTAATGTTTGGGCATTTCATAAGGAAATGTCATTGAATTACCTCCTAGATAAGCTTTTGATGATTCCAGACCTCCAAAACCATTTAAGGATGTAATTGTTTATGAGCACATTGTTTAATCTTTCAGAGTTATTTATTTTGATGCTGCAAGTTTAGTTGAGAAGGGATATGTTAAATTGAATTGTCATAATCATATTACTTATTTGACTGAAGAATTCTTTCAAGGAAATGAAGCTGCTTTGATTTAAGTGTTGTAAACTCTTATTGAGAGTGGACAAAAGGATAAGGAAGAGTAGGATATTCAATAGACAGCGAATATACTAGTAGAAAGATTGGATTATTTCTTTTCGGGAGAACTATTGAATATTTTTTAGAACAAGGAAAATCAAGAATAAATGTAATTAGATCCTGGTTAAAGGGCTTAGTATTTGGAAAGTGAACTAATTAAATTTATGGAAGGTTGGCCTGATTTCTTTTTGAATTTAGGAATGGGAGCATTTGGAATAAAAACAAAATATGAATAGAAAATATATATTGATAGGATTTAAGAGAAAGTAATCAATAACCAAATAAAAAATGGAAATGAAATATAATAATAATGATATAATTTATTATTATTAATCTAATAACATTAAGTATCTAAGCCTTAGATTTCATACAATTATCTACTATTTAATGTTCATGTGCATAAATGATAACTAAAGATGATTGTTTAAGATTTAATTGTAAAATTTCACCATTCCTATTATCATAATAAAAAATCAATCTTGATAAAACATCATTAAAAAATAAGACTGCATTAGCATTAGGTGTACCAGATTTCAAATGTTCTGCATTATTTTGTTCTGATATCAAGACTCAAGAACTTTGTGATAATACAGGTGAATGTGTCTGGAATAATAATGGTGTATGTGAAATCTTTTCTGGATGTGGATCATATTAAGTTGATAAAAAAGAAGATTGTTTCTTAAAAAGTACATAAACCAAGTTTTGTACATATGATGAGGAATAATAAAGTAATGGGAAATACAATTGTATTAATGATCTATCTAAATCAGGAGGAAGTTTTATGACTTGTTTCACTTTAAATAATGAGAATCTATGTAATCAATACGAATATGCTGTATGTACTTGGAGAACATTTTAATAATGTGAAGATGAATCTGATGAAGTTAATTTGTGTTAGTAATATCAATATTGTATTGGTGAGGAAAGTAAGGATTGTGCAGATCTTTCAGGATTTTAAGATAAGTGTGATAAAAGAGAAAATTATTGTAAATGGGTAAATGATAATAGTACATGTATGGAAAGAGAATGTTCTGATTATACATCTGAAACTGATTGCAAAAGCATTTTAACAGATGATTTAAAAAGAGCTAAACCTTGTACATGGGAAGAAGGATTATGTATATAAGGGTTTAATTTAACTAAATTAAATAAATACAATTGTTTGATTGATTCATTGAATACTTCAATGTGGAATGAAGTTGAATAGAGATGTCAAAGTTGTAAATTTGAAAAAATATTGAATTTTATTATTATTTTATTGATATTATTATAATGAATTAATCATCTAATTTATTATTATTAGTAAAATAAAGAGTCAATTATGAAGAGAACAGAAAACTTAGTATATATTTTATACTATAAAGATATTAAAAGATTAGATAAATGAATTAAGATTTATATAATTTATTATGGATATTAAAAATTCTACATTAAATTATATTATAGTATTTAATATATTCTATTATTAATAATAATTATATAAATACCTCATTCAAAGGTACAATAAATTATAAATTAAACCATAAAATTAATTTTATATTACAATTAATGATCATATACAATATAAAACATATTTATAAGTTATATTGTTTAGATTAAATATAAAATTTCTTCAGAAACTGAATTATAATATTGAAATTAAAATTATATTATCCAGTGTGGATAGATGATGTATTTAAAATGAATTTGTATATTTTATGCAATATTTATACAGTTTAGAATAAAAATTGTATGAATTGATGAGATATTCAACGGTTTTTTCTCTGTAATGTTATTATCAAATGAATTAAAAAGTTAAGAAAACATATATTCTGTCTCTTTAATAGGTAAGCTAGATAAGTTATTAAATATATTGGATTTCAACAAGATTTAAAATATTAATTCGATGGGATCCATATGTATAGCGAAACAGCAAAATTTCGCTTCTATTACTTAAAGTGACATAGAAGTTGCTGAAGAATAAGCCATTAATGATTAGATTAGTACTATGTCATGCAATTTTATTTCAACTTTGGAACTACAGTTTAAAAGTACAACTTCATCAAATGAGTTTGAACAATAACAAACCAAAAAGATGAAGTTATCATAGAGTCATCAATAAATTATAAAGAAAGGTATTCTAAAGAATACTAATCCTTATTATGAGGAAGAGTTAAGATTACTTTAAAAAACAATAAAAGAGAGTCAAGAAAGTATGTATAGTGAGAAAATAGTGAATTACTTAAAGGCTCGTAAAGGTTAAGGATAATATGAAATAAATTTATGAATTTAATTCTTACTTATATATTTAGATATATTGCTTTCATAAAATCATTATCATTATGCATGTTTTTTTGTAAACTCTCTAGCATATTATTCATATTTATTTTTGTCCTATTTGAAGATATTTGCAATCTCTGGTACAAGAGGATCATCTGGATTTGGATCAGTTAAAAGGGAAGATATACTAAGCAACACTAAAATATTCTATAAATTATTTAAATACCTTTGCTAATTGTTAATGCAGGTGACCATTAATCTTTTAATATATCTAGACAAATAGCCCCATTCTAATTAATATTTGGATGATAAATTCGAGTAACAAAGTTTATTTTAGGAGGTTTAAATGGATAATCTGTAGGAAAATGAATATTTAAGAAAAAGACTCCTCCTTGATAAGGCGAACCTTCTGGTCCCATAATTGTTGCTTACCAATGAAAGTTATCTTTATCATCAACTGGACCAGCAGAACAATTGGCTGGTGGATCCTTAGCTAAGTCTGCTAATTCTTTTTGAATTCTCTTAAGAGCCATTAATTAATTTATATATATTTAATATATAAATCACATCAATCTATGTCTAATAAGAATGTTTTCTATATTCTCAGTACTACACATTAGATTAATACTTTGTTTGTAATATTAGCATACAATTGATTCACTTATTTCTGGAGTTTCCTTATAGAAAAGGACAAAACATCCTTAAATCAATTGTTCAAATTGTTTCTTTAAATCTTCATGAGTAAAATCTGCCATTCTAATATTTCTTTTTTATAAAATTTCCATAAATTATTCCTTATTACATTCAACAACACGTTTAGTTAGATATTTATAAATGTATGGTAGTCCTTCTTATGTAATTTTAAATGGAGTGACTTATCCACCAAAACTTTCTTTACCCCTTTCAAAGAGTTTTTAACCAATGTTAATAAGTTTAAGATTTTCTAATTGAAATATAAATAATATTATTTACAATTCTTTGGATCAAACAAAATATTTTTAACATCTTCACTTACATATCTAAATTTCTTATTGACTTACATAATAATATCAAGTGATTATCCAGTGCCTAAAACTTATGCTTATGGGAATCCACTAATACCATAATATTCACAAATGACTTTCCAATCATATTCATTAATAGGAGTATAGGGTTCAAGTAATGCTGTTTTATTTTTATCATTTTATTATTTATCATCTTATTCATTGCTTTATTTTAAGATATCTTTAAGATGATCTTAATTCATATCAATATCTTAAATTAATTATTCTTATTAAATATCTTCAGATTATATTATTTCTTTATGTTATTATTATTATTATTATTATTATTATTATTATTATTATTATTATTATTATTATTATTCTTATACAACTTATTATTATTATTCTTATGAAACTTATTATTATTATTCTTATAAAACTTATTAAATTTATTAAACTGGTTTATCAATAATTTATTCAACTTCAATTAATTATTATTATTAAGATATTATAGATTCTTAATATATTGGTTTTTTCCAAATTACTGCTTATTTTTTCTTAAATAATGCCAAATAAAAACCACCAGTATCTTAATCATGTGGAAGTACTCTCATTGTCTTCTCTATATTAATTTTATTCATAAATTCTTCAGTGTCTGGCCATAAAGAAGGTTTTAATGTTTTTAATGCATTAATTATCTATCCTTCTTATTTTCTTGAGAATTTGGAAAACAACTTTTTTATATTCAACTTCTAATTAACATTATTAACTTCATAGACTAAATCATCTACATTCACAGTATCAAGGAAAGCCTTTTCATCTTAATCTGGGTTAGTTTCTCTTTGAAGATACTTTTATGTAAGAAAGTCATCAGTTATAATAACTTTCCAATCTTTAACTCCTTTTCTAGTTTTAAATCCTTATAATGTATGTAAATCAACTAATTCAAAAGCATCAAAACCAGCTCTTCTAAATACTTCAGCCACAACAGCTTCATCTTCAATAGGATTAAGTGAACATGTACTATACATTACATATCCTCCAATTTTACATAATTATAATGCTCTCATCAAAATACTCAATTACAAAGGATGAATAACATTACCATCTCTTGCTGACCATTTAACCCATCTTGTAGGTAATTTACGAGCAGCTCCATCTCCAGTACATGGTACATCACATAATACTTTATCAAATTATAATCTTTATCCATTTATATATAAAGTTGGATAGAATTAAGCTGCATAATTAGTAATCATAACTTATGCTGTTGGCATACGAGATAATTGATGTGATAACATATATGCTCTTTTTGGATCAACATCATTTGCAACAATCAATCCTTTATCAACAATTTCTAATAATTAACATGTTTTTGATCCAGGTGCTGCACACATATCTAAAACAAAATCAGTTGATTGAGGATCTAATAATAAAGGAGGTAACATTGAAACAAGTTCTTATCTAGTCAAAAGTCCAGTTGAATTGCATTTTTATATGAATTAATGTAATTTAGTAAGTGCAGCTGATTTTCTTAGACTTTTCTTAGGTACTTTAGATTCCCAAACTAAATGATTAGGATACCATTTAATTTCTCTAATTGGTTCAATTATTTCTTCTTCATTGACCATATCTTTTATCAATGAGCCATCTTACAATCTTTCAATTAAACTTTCATATTTAAATTAAGATGGATTAATTCTGAATGTGACAGGTAAAGGAAGAGATAAAGATTACCAAAATATCTTAAATTCTTCTGTACTTATTTCTGGTAATTGAATCTATTATAGATAAATGATATCATACTTCATAGAAACGACGAAAGATGGGATTCTCAAATTAAACAACACAAATTTATTGATTGTCTTGATCCCAATGATTTGTCTTAACTTTCTTTTAAGGAGCATTTTCATATTTGCTTTAATTTTTGTTTCTATGTTTTCCCATATATTAAATTAATAAATTAAAATTAAAAGAAATTTATTGTGAAAGAATATTTTTATTATTAATATGAAAGAATTGATAAAATATTTTTAATTGTAATTAAGTAAGATATTCAAACTTCTAGCTCATTTTTACAAATTGGACAATGTCTGCTTTTCTTAAGCCATTTGTCAATACAATCATCATGAAAATAATGTACTATATATATATATATATTATAATATATACAGCATGGAATAGTTTTAACTAAATCTTCTTCTTCATATTCACATAGACATATTAAACATTTCATATGATCTTCATCTAATTATTTAATTTATTCTAAATTAATCTTTCTTACTGGTAATTATTATATCTCATGTTCTTCACATCCTATATTACCTTCAATAGTGCCATTTTCATTTAATTATATAAATGTATTTAATAATCTATGTAATGATTCAATCTAATCTTATCTAGTATTATTAATAGATCTATTTATAATATTATAGCTTTGATTTAATTCTAACTATTATAGATTCATTCTTTAATCAACTTAATCTGTAATTTGAATATGTGTTTAATTTGGAATTACAAATCCATAATCCTCATCTAAACAAACTTCAAAAATGAAATCACCAATCCTTAATATCTAACCTTTCTCTAAATATCTAGTCAATCCTACAAAATACGGTTAAATAACTTAGTTTAACACTTACTAAATTGCTTGATTTCTATTACTACGAGAAAATTCAATTGGTTATTTCAAAATAATAAATTACACCTTAGATAATCTAGGAACATTCGAAATACATTCCATTTTTGTATATAAATGTAATCTCCCTGATTATTCTGTGCATTACAATATAAAATATTCCTAATTATTTATTTTTATATATGAATCTATCAATATTTTATAATTATATATACCTTAAATGAGTTGATTTTCTTTTGGATGAGAAAAGAAATAATGAAAAATTTCATCTTAACAATTTTTTCTTTGTGTATATATTTTCAATTTATACAAGATTCTATCTGTATATGATTCATAACAATAAATCTTTGTACCAGTACCTACAATACCTTAGAGTTAGGAACCACATCCAACTACTCTGAATTCAAATTAATCAATATTGAAGCAAGCCCCAGATGTAATTACTCTTTCTCTCATCTAAAAGAATGGCAATATAATTTGAGTCATCAAGTTTCCATATGAAATGTGATTAATACAAGTCCTATAGTAATTACTACAAATACTGATTCACACGTAGCACAACCTAATCTAATTATTATAATGGGAAACTATATGTGTAACATTAAACATCCTAACTCTGATTCAAAAGACTAATCACTCCATCCTTTATGACATACGGAATTTGACATTCTTCACATATATTTGTTCTACCTAATCCATCATCAAATAGTAAAAACTAACACCTTAAACAACTTATTCTTTATGCTTTAAACTCAGGTTTTTAGAGTATTGATGATGGAAAAGTTGAATAATCTAATCACATATTTAAACATACTCTAAGTCAAATATTTAGTCAATTCATCTTCAGATTTATTCACTTGCTTTGTTTGTAATGAAGATTGATTTTCCTATTAATTTGAATGTCTAGAACTATTTCCCATTAGGAATTAATAATATATATATATATATTATGAAATAAAATCCGATCTTACTAAAACATTATTAAGATGAATGTTTATTAGATTTGAATTTATATTGTTCATTTCTACATCCTAATTTATTATTAAGAATTGATATATAAAATTATGATGAATAGTATTTTGTTAGTTTGATACATAATTATTTAGAATAAAATAATTATGGTATTTTATAATAATTAAAAATTTAGAGAATGGCAAATTACTTAATTAAATAGGTTTAATAATTTGAATAAGAACATTAAACATTAGTTCCTACTATATACTAAATTTTGAGTAGTTTTTTCTTTGCACTTAATCATTTTAGTGTAAAATTATTTGATGGCATACCTGTAACATAAATAATAATTTGGAGATGTGCCTTAACATTTATAATTATCAGATTATTCAATCAAATATTGCCATTGTAATCATATCCAAAAAATTAAAAGATAATGAATAAACTATTGTTTAGAGGAGCTATTGGAATGTTTGGATTTTTAGCCTGTTTTTCTTCATTAAAATTGGTTGCTGTTTCAGAAGCAGTAGTTTTAATGAAAACTAATCCTATTTGGACTACTCTAATATTAGTTTATGTATTAAGAAAAGAGAAGATCAATATGAGAACAGCAATAGAAATAATTACTTGTATTATAGGTGTAATTTTTATAACGAAGCCTCCATTAATATTTGGAAATGAGAATTCAGAATATTCAATTTTATATTTAATAGGTCTTTGTTTGGCACTTGTTACTGCATTAGAGACAGCTGTGGCATAAGTGATTATTAAATCATTAAATAATCAAGTTCATTCATTTGTAATATTGCAATATTTTTCATTATTCGCTATAATAGGTGCAGTACTCTTTCAATTGTATTCACCTTTCGAAGACATGAGATTTCTCTCTTTTAAAGAAGCTGTCATTCTCTTGTTTAGTGGATTTCTAGGTTGTTTGGGATCCATGTTTATGAATAGAGCAATGATGTTAGGTAAAGTAACATAAATGGCACTTATTGGAGAAACATAAATAGTATTTAATATTCTATTGGATTTATTAATTTTGAAATAGATGATAGGAATGACTAGTTGGATAGGAATTGGTATGATAGCTACAAGTCTAACTTCGAATATAATGTAGAAGAACTGATTATTAAACAAATTATTTATGTCTAATTAAATATAAATATGGCAAATTTGTTAATAGGTCTAACATAACAACTTAAAGTGTTAGAAAAATAATATCCAACAGGATTACCTGCATTTTATTAATTGATGTCTAGTTTAACATTTGCAATTCATACATTTAGTATTAAATTTTTTGAAGGAATTCCTGCTAGTTAAATTATAGTTTGGAGATCTGTATTGACTTTAATAATATTACAAATACTAATATAAATGTTCCCTTGTTAATCATATCCAAAAAATAAGGGTACATTAATAAAATTAATTGGAAGAGGAGTGTTTGGAGGTATTGGTTTTATTTCATTTTTTCTTGCATTAAAATTAACTACTGTTTCTGAAGCAGTAGTACTAATGAAAACTAATCCATTATGGACAACCTTATTAGTAGTATATATTTATAAAACAGAAAAGATGACATGGAAATCAATGATTGAAATACTCTTTTGTATATTTGGTGTAATTTTAATAGCAAAACCACCTATAATAATGTCATTATTAGGTTATGAAATTCATTAATTAGAATTTACTTATTTATATTTCATTGGTTTATGTCTCTCTTTATTGACAGCATTTACTACATCTATTACATAAGTACTTATTAGTTCACTTTCAAAAGAGGCACATTAATTAGTTATATTATAGTATTTTTCATTATTTGGAATAACTATGGCTTGTATTTATTAATTGTATTCCCCATTTGAGTAATTTCATAATTTAAATTTACAAGAGATGGGTTTAATGATCATAAGTGGATTTTTGGGTTGTTTAGCATAGTTATTTATGAATAGATCAATGATGATTGGAGATGTTACATAAATGTCATTAGTAGGACAATCTCAAATTGTATTTAATATTTTATTAGATGTTCTCATAATGAAATAAAATATAGGAATAATGAGTTCAATTGGTATATTTATGATAGCAGCCAGTTTAGTTTCAAATATAAAAAAGAAAAATAAAAAATGATGGAAATTCTTTTTTACATTTGTAATTATAATAATTATTATAATAATTTTGATATTATTTAGATATTAATAACTAAATAGATATATAATTATATGATATAAATAATATATCATATATTTCCACTTTTTGTAAATTTTAATGGCTAGGATTTAGATAATAATTGACCAAATGATTCTATTAAATTAATCTAATGTGTGCTTTATAAGGTTTCTTCATTATCAAATACAAAGTCTTCAAAACATTATTCTAAACGAGTAATAAGTGTATCAGCATTTGGTCTATTTTAAGGATTAAAAGATAGACAATCTGCTATTAATTTAATAAAATCATCTTCTATATTCTTATCAGCCAAAGTTTATTTAATTTTTTCATATGTACATTCTTCTTTATATCTATCTTCAGTCCAAAAGAGTGAAGAATGTTCTACTGGATATATTCCTTAATTAGCTATTTAATAAACTAAGAAAAAATATAATAAAAATAATTACATATCATTCCAATCTACCAAATATCTGAAGTATAAGTATAATTAGATTAACCAGTTTCAGGTGGTTCATAATTAGTAGATGATGTAAGACCAGTAAGAATTTAATTACACTATTCAGGAGTATCTTCTATGGTAGTAGAATGATCAAAGTCTGCAATTTTCAATTATGCTCTATCAAGATCTTCATGACTTAAGAATAGATTGGCAGGTTTAAGATCTCTATGTAAGATTCTATGTTTATGTAATTAACGAATAGCTAATATATATATATAATGAGATACCAAAAGCTAATTAACAACATAGATCTTTAACATTTCTATCATAAATTTCAGAATTTTCAAATGTTTTAGATAAATCAGTAGGATACAATTCCATAAATAAATATAATTAATCCTGAATTCTAAAATATGCAAAATAATAAGCAAAAGGTTCATATTTTCTAAAGTTTTCCATAATTTCTAATTCTCTTTATGAACATAATATTAAATAATCTTTATTATCTGCAATATCTAATTTTGCAGATTTCATTACAGTTCTATTACTTATTCCAGGAATAGTTTTTAAGAAATCTGGAGTATCGAATACATAAACAAATGAATTAGCTTTATCATCAACCATACTTTAATCATTTGCAAATTAAAATATTTATTGTAATATTTCAACATAAGGTAAACTTTCAGTTAAACCAATATTAACATCCTATTATACTAAAAAATAATCAATAGTTTCTTAAAAATCATCACCATTACATTCTAATCCCATCCAAAAAACTAAAAATTAAATTAAAAAAATAATGTATACCTAAATCTATAAAACTCTAAAACGATTCTTCTGGAGTAATTATTCTATCAAATTAAAAGTCAATTTATTAAAAGCAAACATGTTTACCAATAATAATGACTTTATCTGGTTAAATTAAGAATGGTAATTTTCTCTTACATAATTCCTACAATGCTATATAAATTCATAATCATATATACTTATTCCAACTAATGAAGCAACAAATACTTTCTCATTATTATCCATATGTTCTAAATTATTTTCTAAAGAGTATTCTTAATAATCTGGACTGGCCATTGAATTTTCTTTTAAATATAAATCCAATGCAGGTAAAATGTTGTACAATTTAATTTTCCTCAATTTCAAAAATCTCTCATTATTAATATTATGTTTAGTGAATCTTCTTATAATATAATTGTAATCATTAGTTGTCCTTCTACATTTGAATTCCTATCTATTAAATTAATTCAAATTACCATATATTCATTAGTAGTTTTCTTTAATTCTAACTAAATATAGGTGTCCTCAAGTTTTTCTTCATTGAAATGTATAACACTTTAGTTCATTTAATATATTAATATATTGTGATCAAATAGAATAAACACTTAAATATCTAAATAATAATATATAGATAGAATATTTTAAAGTATGATCATTAGAATTCTTCATTATCAAATGAAACACAACTATTTCGATGTGGATTCAATAATAATGATTATTCCATTTGTTAAATCAGATTCTCAATAGAACTTAATTCTTTTTTAAGTTCTTCAATTTCTCTTTATAAATCATTAAATTCCATTATATTAAATTCCTTATATAATTATATATAAATATATACTTTTTATTTAACAATCCTTTCCATCTTTTATTTGATTTCTTTAATAAGAAATTCTCTCTTTTTTCTTACTTCTTATAAATTTATTTCAATTTCTTCATTGATTTATTTAGGTTGTTAAAATTATTATGATTTGATTTCTTTTAATTATCTAGATGGAATTGTTTAAAATATATCCTTAATAATTTAAATACATGTTCTTAATTATTTCTCAGGTATCTAATGTAAATAATATTCATCATTATTTGTTAAATATTCTTATATAATTTATCTTAATTCTGGATCATCTAAAAAATCTGTATTTGTTTAAAAATTCTATTCTGATTATTTTTTAGAAGATAATGATCTACCTTAATTATCAAATTCTAAAATTGCTATCTTTAATTCATTATTTTCCTAAATTAATTAATCATTCTACTGACTTAACTCACTATAAGTTTAACTGAATTCTTATATCAATCTATCACTTTCACATAATCTAAGATCTTTTTCTTCTTTTAATTTTTATTTTAATTCATTTATCTCTTTCTCTTTCTATTTTAATATCCTTTAGAATTTCTCTTAAACTGTTTTCTACTCTATTATCTCATTATCTCTTTCACTTAACTTTTCCTTATACTCTATTAGTTCTTTCTATATCTATTTATACTTATTTTCATTTCCCTTAACCATTTATTATTACTTCTAAAAATCCTTCTCATAACTATTCTCTTATACAATAATTATTACTCTTAACATTTTTAATATAGCTAAGAATAACTTCTATCAGTCTCACATTTTCTTATCCTTTCCTTATCTAATTCTTCTTTTAATTAATCATATTTCCTATTTATTACTCGTAAATTATCCTCCAAATTCAAAATCCTTTATAACAATTATTCCTTTGTTTCTTAACGAAATGGTGAAGTATTCTCATAATATGGAAATTAAGGTTATAGATTTTGGTTAATTGTTTGTTGAACCTAAGGGTATCCCATATTGTATTTCAAAGGGGTCATCTACTATTTGTCACTAAACTAATAGAAAATAGACTAATCTATTGTACACTACATCCTCTGAACGGTGATGTGTTAATTGCCTTTTCAGGTGTTTTAGTAACATATGTGGATGGAGTTTATATCAATTTTAGAGGTTGTTTTTGCATTAACGAATAATAACAATTAATTTTTATATATATATATTATGAATGATATTTTATGATATCTATTTTACATCTTCAAAAAATATATAATTTGAATAATATATTTATATATATATATATATAATTAACATAGATATTAATAAGAATTCACAATTATATCTTCATTCTAAGAATTATAATATATTTATTCTTTACAAATTATAATTTAATATCAATTTATCATTTTTTTAATAATTATTTTACATATGAATTTACTTCAAAAGATAACTTTTATCTTAATAAGATTACTTTTAATTTAGATTAGATGTCTTGCAATAACTCTTAATGATTCCATACCAATTTAAAAGTATATTCTTCTTGAAAATGAGAAAATTTCCTCTTTATTTAGTATAAGTTCATTTCCTCTTGATAATCAAAATTAACAAGATTAAAAAGATATTGAATTTCCATTAATAGAATTAAAATAAAACATAATGTGTGGTAATATCATGATTAAAAATCTAAAATCTATAATAATTGATAATGATTAATTAGCAATTATGACTATATATGGTGATGAAATGATATGTTTATTATAATTAAAAACATATTTAGTAAATGATGAATTAAGTTATTTAAATTGTTCAATTAGTTTTAAATTATAGTAATAAAATTGTTTCAAAGTTTATTAAATTTCTAATGATTAATTATTAATAGTATGTTAAAAGGATTCAAAAACAATAAAACTTTATTTATAGAATTTTAAAAATTAAGTAATAAATGATTATGAAGTTAAGATAATGGAAAATTGTAAATTTAATTCATTTCATCAAGATCAATATATAATTATTTCTTAATCAGATTGCATTAACTAAATAGATAATAAATACTAATTAAATATGCTGATAATTAATCAAAATGAAATTTAATCTTATTATTAATAATCATTAACATAATTATTATAAATTAAAAATATAGAAAATGCTGGAACATTAATTGATATTTAAATTTGTCATTCCAAAAATTTAATATTTGAATTTACAAAAGGAATATTCTAGTGTAACATCGATAATTTAGATCAGTGCTATTAAATTAAATTAATTAATTAATCTTCAACAATTGTAAAAGCATTTAATTATTGTTTTAAAAGCTACATTTTAGAATATACAAATGAAGGAGAATGTATTATATTTAAAATATATAAGGGTTCTTTAAAAAATATCAAATTTATTTAAATACAACTGATTATGTAGATTCAATTTAAATCTAAAATAAATTAATAATTTATTCAAAAGATGAATTAATTGTATTTTTTAATCCTAGTATCTTAAACAAAAAATAAATTTAAGTTTAATTTATGATTCCTATAGCTGATTTATCTTATTTTGCTTTATTAAATATTAAAGGAGAATTACAAATTTACAAAATAAATGATTAAAGATATTATCTGTCTTATTCTCACCCATTATAAGTTATCATTATTTTGCCAATTGATTTCTATCAAATAAATACTGATATGGTCATTATATAGATGGAATAATATGATTCATTAAATCCTCCATTTTTAATTAACAAAAACGAAATAGTAGTTTATGATAGAGAACTCAAAAACAATTTATTTCTAAGGAGAGATTTAATTTAAGAATCTATCCCTTTTTAGATATTGAAAATTGAAAGAGATGGAAGGATTATCAGCTATTAATATTAAACTAGAGGATTTTAATGTAAATACAATAATAAAGTATCTTATTATAATTTATGGCTTATTGAAAATGAAAATAATATCTAAGTTCTAATTCTTGAATTAAAATAGACAATTCAAATATATATTTGTTCATAAGGAATATTAATAAATCATTATAAAATACCATTACATTAAAATTATATTAGTACTATTGTTAATCGAAATTATGTATCTCTTTATACAATTCATTAAAATGAATTCCAATTTTATTAATTTATTGATATGAATCTAATAAGTTAATCAATCTCTATCTAGGAGAATATAATAAAAATAATCTTAAATCAAAACAACATTCAATTGGTTTTAGATAATTGTAAGATTATTGAATTATACTTCAATTCTATCCCTTATAATATTCAATATTTCTATTATAATTATGACAATTGTACAGAAATAAGATTTATATAAAATCAAAAACTTGTTATTACTCATAATTAAATTAGATAATTAATTAATTAAAAGATCAATTCAATAATAAATTTACCATATAATGTATATCAAGTAAGTCTTAATAAAAATAACTAATATTCCTTGGTTTTAATATTTTATGAATATTAAGATATTATCGCTATTTCCTTGTATTTTTTGTATTCGAATACAATAAGTAAACTATATGATTTGCCATTATATAATTATTAAATTAAAATACCTATCAATTTCTAATATTAAGAATCTATTTTGTTATTATTAACATAGAACAATTAATCTGATAATTTCTTATTTATCTATAATTGTAGTGATATTTCACTTAAATCTTTATTATGGATTATTAAATTAGATAATACTGATTAATAAAACTTTGGATTTATCAATTCCAAACTTGACTTTTTTTATTTACAAAATAGGTCTATAGTTATACAAAATATCAATCACATTCACATCAAATATTAAGATTATCAAAATTATTCTTATCCCTTTTTTTCATCATCCATATTTAATTTAATTTTAGAATCATAATTGCCTTTATTCAAAAAATAAACAAATATCAAAATTAAACAATATTCTCTTAATACTAATTAATAATTGATTCTTCTTAAAGATGATTTTATTAAAATTGATTCAAATGGTTACATAGACCTAATTAACATATAAGGAATTATTAATTAAATAGTAATTCTTGAGAGTACTTAATAAGAATTAATTCATCCTTTAACTATATATAATTCAAATCAGATATCCAATTGTTTATATTATACTAATCATTTGTGTATTCGATCTCATTCTGTTATTATGTTTTAGTACTTGAAATAAATATACAAATTTTAATTAGACAAATCGATATATCATCAATGTTAAATCTATTTTGATAAACAATACGAAACTTATCATATTATGGAAATAGTTGATATTAACGAATGGAAATAAATTAATTTCATCAAAATTCAATTTGAAATATAGTCTATTGATGGATAAGTATCAATAAATAAAATTTAGGAAACTTATTATTCTATTTTAATGATTGAAATTTAACAAATTATAAAAATTGAAGGTCTAATCATTTTGATTTCGGATTCTATTAATAGCAATTTAATTATATAAAAATAATTTAGTTATGAAATTATTAATTTTAAATTAAGTTATCCCCATATTACTTTTGATGCATACTTCATAAAAAATGGTACATACTTCTTTATGGCTGGTGATAATTAGTAACTACAACTAAAAGTAATCTCTTTTAATCTAAATGATTAAAATTTAAATTATGATACTTTATTTAGTCAAGAATTATAGATTTTATAAATTTTCTAAAACATGCCTTTTATTTAATTTGAATTACAATTAAATTTTATAAAAATAACAACAGTTGATTTAAAAAATAATTCACTTATAATTTAAGCAATATTCTTTTTTTATGATACTTTTTTTGTTTTTATTGAAATTCATTATGACTTTGTAAAATAAATTCTAATATAAACATAAATTACATCAATTTTCAGATATGCTGAATCATCAAAATTTAATTAGCTATTATATCTTGATGAAAATTTCATAATTATAAAAGTATCAACAAATACCTCAAGGTCTTAATTATTAATTTATGATTTAAGTTATATTCTAGAAAAAAAAGAAATTGATGCAATCTATTTGTTTTAAGATAACAATTATACTACAATTGAAAGGTATAATTAGACTCATCATGTAATGCTTTAATTTGAAAAAGACATTCTCTAGATAAAATTGATTTAGTTATAAAAATACTAAATTAAGTGTATAAATCAATGTAATTTAATATTAAAATTATTATTATAAAATGATTTTTCAAGCATAATTGTTAAAACTATTTATTAAAATGATGCACCTCTAGTAAACTATCAATAAATTATAGTGTTTATATGTCTTCTTTGTATTATTTATTTAACAATATATAGAAAACAAAGAATGTAACCTAAATGAAAATATTTATAATTAATTTAAATATTATTTATTATTAATTTCTTATGAAATGATAATCTAAGAATATTTTATTTAAGTTTCTCATTTATTTATTATTCATAAAAGTTAAATGATAATTTGAACATTGGAGTAATTTATGTTCAATGAAAAATCTTTATTATATTACAATCATAGTGAATAAAAATAAATCAATTAGACAACAAATTCAAAAATGGAATAAAAATAATAATTAATTTTATTAATGATAATTTATAATTAAATATGATTTCACTCAATTATTTGAATATCTTTTTTAATTAAGATTCTTCTATTTTTAAAGGTTTTTTAAAATAGTATTATTAGTATAAAATTGATTAAACAAATAAGAGTATTTAGAATATTTTAAAATATTAGAATATTATTTTCATCTAAATCAGGATAAATATCCAATGTTAATGTAGATACAGAATTATTTAATAAAATTGATTTAAATGAATTGTCCGATTTTAATTAATATCCTGAGAATTATAATAAACTAATCAATTAAATAGAATTTTCACTATTTATTTATACAAAATGAGTATCATTTAAATATTCTATGGTTATATTTTTACCTTTATATTGATAAAGACTATTAAGAATCTTTGTTTAATTTAAAATATAAAAATATAGTACAGTTTCTTCATTGATGAGTAAGGCAATAATTAAATTTTATTAATTTATCAAACAATACTATAATTATGACTGTTGAAAAGGATACCTAATATAATTCATTATATGGCTTTTTATTAGACTTTCTTGAAAATCTATATTTAAACTGATTCTAAAGCAATTTTATTTTTCAAAACATAGAATTATATCAGTTGAAAAAATCATATCAACTAAAGTGTGATTATGGATTAATAATGAATTAACATATGAAAAATTAAAATAAGTGTAATCTAGAATCATTTGGGATATCTTAATATCTAAAGTCTTACTATTACTGTAATTCTCATTTAATAATGTAATATGAATTTTATTATAATTTTAATTATCATAGCAAAATATTACATAATGATTATTTAAATAAATAGCTTAAGCAATTTAAAAATTAAATAATTTATTTTAATAAATATATCTCCTTATATTATTCTCTTCAAAAAGTAAAATTTAAAAATAAAGTTGTCTCATGAACTTAATAATGGCAATATTTTTTATAAAAATTATACTTTATATAGAATTATCCCGAAAATTAATCTATGGCTGTTGTTATTTCAAGATCAATTAATTCTAATATATTTCATAATATTTCAATAACATTCCTGAAACACAAAATATATCTTATTAGTTAGACAAATCTTTAATAATAATTAAATCTTAACATTCTTATGGTAATCTTATCTTAATTTGATTTCCAGAATTGTATAATATTACATCTTTATCTAGATAACAAACTTAGTTCAAATAGAATCTGCATTATAAAAATGGAGTTAACTCTATTGGATCTAATTTTTGATACTCACTCTCTCTCAACAAATATACTTAATCAATTTAACCAAATATATTATCAAAATTTAGTTTGCATATTTATTTCTATTTATCATATTTTTATATAAATGGAATCTTAATATCTCTTATGCTTAATTTATAAATGAAATGAGTTATTTGAATATTAAATTAAATGACTTAAGAAAAATTGTATATATCAGTTTTAATTTCTATTGAAACTTATTCATGCTTAAAGTCAGTATCAAAACCTAAATATTAATCTGTAAATTTAAGGAAGACTATTTATAAATAAGTAATCATTAGAGATGACTTATAAATAGAAATAATTTCATTATTACTTAAAAAAGTAAAATAATATTAATTTGTATCAATCTTAATAACTTTTATTAAGATATTTGATAGTTAATTGTTAAGATCATAGACAAGAAGCACTTCCTACGAATTATGTATATTTTTGGCTGCTATGGCTAATGAATCCCTATGAATTTGATATTTCAGAGGATAAATAATAATGAAATGATACAAAGGCAAATTAAAACAAAAGTACAATTCTTTAAATATCATATTATACAATTTTAGTTATATCTTTTATTCTATTACCTCAAAAATGACCAATCTTTATGCTTTTACAAAATAAATAAAGTCTATGATTTACTCAAAAGTGAATTTAAGTTTATTCGAAAAATAAGGTTAAATATTAATTTCTTATTCTGCTATATTGATTTCATATCGATCCAATATTTGATATGTACAACCAAATTATAGAGAACTGTTAAATACTTAATAGATTAAGATATCTAATTGAATCTAAATTTCAATGCATCCCTATAACTCAATATTAAGAATTTAATTGTTTTTTAGGATCTTATTAATCGTATTTGTTATTCTTAGAGACCACATCAATTCTATCATTATATCGTAGTGAAAAGCGTTTATGGTGTTATTAGATATTATAATAAAATTTTGATATTCGATACAAAATATAATTTGTGAGTTTATATAATCATCTGAGTGTTTAATTCGATAACTTATTGTGTTATTACTATCTATAATAAACATTGTTTCCTTGTCAATTACAAAAATTATATTATCTTTAATATTTATTGTTCTAATCAAAAAGGCTTACAAACCCCAAATCAGATTTTTATATTATTTTATGAAAAATCTATCATCTGCAAATATCAAACTACTATTTGATTATTTTTTTTTAGAAATTGAAAATGGTAATCCTTTTTACATTGAAAAAGTATGGTACTTATAATACTCATCTGAATTAACAAATAATGTATCAAATTATATTATCTAAACTAATAATTAAGGAGTTGATTGTTTTTTAATTGTTATACTAAGAGGCTACAGAGCAACCTTGAATTATTTTACCAAAAAAACTAAAATATTTTGTTGATAGGAATTAGATATACCTCTTGGTAAATTGTTAATTTTGAGGAATTCTAAAACTCCTTATTTATTAAAACCTATTATAAATGGCAAATATCCTAAATATAAAATTGATGTGTTATTCAACTCATATTTTAATGAGATTAATTCATTATTATAAATGTACAAGTAGTCATTGCAATAAATAATAATGTTTTCATTTATAAAATTAACTGAGAGTACTTTTTCACATTTTGGATTAATGAATATTACATCTTAAGATATAGATATCTCTTTTTAACTACTTTTATCAATAATTAACAGATAATCTGTCCTAATATAATAAAAAGAACCTATATATTAATACTTTCCAACTTAATTGTTTAAAAGTAATTAAACCTCACCAGAAATATAATTAATATCAAAAACTTTGTACTAACAAAAGACTCTTAATAAAATATCATTTTTTATCTGGATAGACATTAATTCACCAATCATATCAATATTAAATTTACTCAAATTAAATTAGTTTTATTTCATCGAAAACTTTGACTATTTAATTTCAATAATATAATAAAAAAATAATTAATTTTAATTTTCCATTATGATCAGTTTATGATCTACCTCTAAACTGTATAAAGTAGTATTGAATTAGGATGTGATCTATACAATATCTAAAATTTCATTATTTAAATCAATCAATTTGAAAACTAAATTATTTTCATTTCTACATTCTAACGTAAACAAATTCTAAACAGAATTATATAACTTTTAACAGTTAGCTTGATTAAAAATAAAATAGTCATCCTAAAATGTTATTAATTAATTATTGACTAAATAATTCATAATTTTTTAATTGCATTTGATATTTCTTATCTTTACTTAACAAATATAAATCTCATTTTAATCATAATTTATAAATGTTATTATGTTTGATACACCTTCAGTTAATTCATACTATATATGACTTTCAATCAACTTTTTTGAAATTTCAGATATGCCATAGGAAAATTTTGGATTACTAATTGAATTATTGAATAAATTGTGTGATTCTATTATGATTGCTCTCTATGTAAAGTAATAATGTTCATTATCAGCCATCATAATTTCTCGTACTGCTTTTATTAACATAATATTAGAGAAAAAAATGAGCTAAAACATATTTATATAATTAAATGAAATTTGATATTCATTTTAATTATAAATCAATACCATTTTATTGTATATGTGCAATAATTTTATAATCATAAATTTATATGTTGGGATTATTATACATGAATTATTTAATCAGAATTTTTAATCTAATTCATTCAATAGATTAAGGCATGTTTTCAAACTAATTAATGTTTGCTTTGTCTCTTTTCTAGATTTTTATATAAATTAATTTTCCTAAAGTAATTCATCCACATAATCTGATTTATATAATACTCCAATCAATTCTCTTTCACATAAATTTCTTGATTGATTTACAAGAAATGTAATAATTGTTTTTGGAATTGAATCACATATATTCTTCTTTACTAAATTGAAATATGAAACAATAAGGTCTTTAATCATATCCATTTCTGTTTATTCTCTTTTACTTGGTCTATCATTCAATTTAATAACATTTGGAACGCAAGGTAATTATCTTTTTGGATCATTTACAAAATACTATTAATTAACATAAGCAATTTTATTAATTACTGATTACTATTATAATATCTAACTTTCATCAATTTATTCCAGTTTTTTTGATTTTAAATTATTCAATTTCCTTTTATTATTTAAAATATCAAGTTTGCTATCATATAATTCTGTTTGCTTGTTATTTTTAAATGGCCAAAAATTTAAAAATTTCCCAGATTCGCTTTCACTTTAAACAGGCGATTTTTCCCTTATAATTTATTAAGGTTATTATCTTTATTCATCTTTATTAACTAAATCCATACCAGATACAAAATCTGGATGACTAGTATTTATATATCCAATCTCAATTTCTAATAAATTCTATATTATTTCATCTGTTTGAATTAAACATTTATTTAAAAGATTTTCAATAACTTCTTAAATTCTATTAGATAATACATCAAACCTTTCAATTTCAGGTATTGAAATTTAATTTATAACTCTTCTTAATTCTTCAAATATTATATGAGAACATTCAATTGAAG